AATGTGCAAAAAATGGAACAAGCTTCAGAGGACCTTTCGATGCCACAAGAGACGTCTCCCCGTCGGCACTGGTACATGGCTGTTATGAAGCGCCTCGTACTTTCATGGGTCGATACGGCTATGTATATGCTGAGTACTCCATGGCAAGACTCCGTTTGGTTCCCAGCGTATACTCACATTATACATCCCATATATCCTCCAACTATCCTCCAGTCGCTATCTACCCGACGATTGAAGTGAGGAGGGTCATAGCGATTTGGAAAAGCACGGAGAGACGATATATATTCGTAGCTAAAGAAGAGCTGCCCGGACCCCGGCTTGGTTCCCGCCGCGGTGCTATAAGTTAAACGTGTAATGTGGATCTAACTGGGCTGTCTTACTATAGCTAATTCATGTCAGTTTTATATCCTTCTGCTCTCAAGTCAAGTGAGTAAGACGTTCAAACGTTCTCAGGTTTAGGACAGTATGTACTACATACAATTAGATGCTCGACACCAATTGTAACTGGCCGAAAGTACAGAGCCTCGATCCCACGATCCGCCAGGGTAGTGGAGTATCGTGCCCTCACGAATTCAGTTTGATTCTAAAGCTGTCTAACTATTTGGCTGTTGTCAATGTTTAGTTAGATCCACAGTATCTACTGGAGGCTCATCGATAATTGTGTTATAAACTAGTAGATTCTATAGTTGTAGAACAGCATCATAGCTCTAACTACGTATGTGGTAGGGGTGATCGACCTTTTGTTATATGTAAAAAAGGTCACATGTTCGCGCCGTCCGATCTTACGTTCCCCGCGTTGAAGATAGCATAGCCACCCTGTATATAGATCAAAGCATATTGAATTTTTTTTCTTCTACCATTCTCTACATCTCGTGTAGAGTGATTATAAGGTACTACATAGCTAGTGCGAGCAATTAATCTGGTATAAAAACAATGCCCCGTTTATGTCACATCAGTACAGGAGTATTATTTCCCTTTTTTTTAGTAGATCGATATATCATTATTGTAACTATGTGCTCTAGATCTCCCAGTACAGCTGCAGCTTAATCTCTAAAAAGTCCCATCTCGCAACAAACATTTTATATAAGAAAAACCATCCCCCCCGCGCGCCATAAAGCATAAACTCAACCCGCCCCGTCTCTAGAAAAAGAAAGAAAAAGTCTAAAACAAGCCCCCGAATTGTTGTACGTTGATGAAAAGAAAAACGGTGATACAAAAAGTCATTATCCCATATGCGTCGACTCTGTTTAGGGCTTACCCTACCTTACAAGCCATATGCGTATATTTCTATGGCCAAACTACCCACTCGATCGAACAATTTAATCGTTATATCCTTACTCCAAACAACTGCAACCCATGCGTAGATATTCTCCAGTATAGCATACACACACGAATCCCCAAAAAAGAAGGTGTCTTAAAGCGCCGCTGAATCGCAGGTTTATGCCGCTATGTACGTGTCCATAGCTTGCGCATAAACATAAATAATCTCGCAGCGGTTGCACCTGTGATGTTGGCACTCTGTACACTGATCGTATAGGGCGGCCAAGTGGGTGCCGTTTGGGGTGCCGTTTGCTGGACAGGCGGATGAACCGTTCGGATTCCCTCCACTACAACAAATCCAGAACTCGTCGGCGCCGTCTGGTGGTGGTGCCCGTGCTGACAGAACAGAAGACGAAGGGGTGCTGCTTCTACTACTTTCAGAGCTGACTTGCACACGTTCGTGATCAATTGTCGAAGTACTGTATTGAGAATCTACAGTCTGCTCACGTTGGTTGCGGGGCGTAGCGCTGCCAGAGGAGTTCTGGCCGTTTTGACGACGTTGGCTGGGGCGCGGAGCGCTACGATTAAGGTCTGAGTGACCATTGCCTGAGCTAGAGCTACAGTACATTGAGATGGAGGAACGGGTGCTGCTTGTGCTGTTGAAGGTGGACTGGAAGAATTGAGTGTCAGGAGGGGTCTTGAGTGTTTAGTTTTGAGCGGGATTTATTGAGCTCTTGTACTTTGTAAGAAGCGCTCTTGCCGAGAGATATAACCGTAATTGAAAGGCTTGATGCTTGTGGGAGATACTGCTAGTGAGTTGGATGATGGGATCGAGGTTTGATCGATGGGGACGCCGTATATATAGAGAGCTATCTCCATAGTCACCGCGGGGAAATTAAAGTACGAATGTTCCCAAATACTAGAGCGATATTGACTAACTGGACGTACTCGATAATAGAACTCAGGATGTAGCGCACATGTACATGAATCAACAACAACTACTAAGGTTCTGAACGTAAAATTATTAGTACAAAGCCCTACAGCTAGCATATTCAAAAAGGGAAAAGAAAAGGGCTTTTGTGCGCACACCTACCAGCCATATCTGCTAACCTAGTTCTGAAAGCTTTATCTTTGGACGAATTATTAGGCCTGGAATCATTGAGCATGGAACAAATTGAGAATGATGAAATGATAAGGTAGATCATGACAGGTAAACCCCTGGGTCCTTTGACTCTGACACTACTGACTAGAATCTCAGTGAAAATAGAGACCAGAAGGTTAGAACAAAGCTGCGAATAGATGTTTTGGGTGGAAATGCGTTGAAAACTGGTCGTTAATTCTAGTTGACTGCGATCGAAGAAATTCGTAATAGGAATTGTGAAGAGGAAGAAATCTAGAAAGGTGACACGCGAAGTATTTGGCGCTGCGCACGTCAAGGTTAGGGTAGCTTTGAGAATGTACTACATAGTTAGCTGATGACCGTCCTCAGGTCGTGGGCTCTGTTACCGTTCGGATTCAGCCCCGCGCGAAAGCTTAATCGTAACCCTCAGTAATTCGTCCAGCTTACAATTAAACGGGATCCATGCATAGGGGTACCAGTGTAGGGCAGACTGAGCTAAGAGGCTCTGGAATTTCTCTTCTAGGGATTTGTGCGGCGGCTATTGTGATCGCAGTGTGTGCATGTAGGTACAAGAGCAAGGGTCTCTTTGAGCGAAATCGTGAAGATGAAAGAAGATGAACAGCACGAGGAACACTTGGTATATCCAATATCATGTTGTCTGTACAATTGGAGAATCATCTTTCCCGCGGCAATCCTAGCTAATTAGCCACGCATTACGCGCGTATAGCGTATGTACCTTATACATTACATGATCCACACAGAGCTCGGTTCATGTGGGTGAAACGGTGAAACGGTGAAAAATATGATAGAACAAATTTAAATCACTCGATCAATTGTATGTAAGCGCAATACGTGTATACATCTGAGAAATGGTGCCAAGAAACGGTATGATCATTGGCTTAATTATCATGCTTGAGATCACCTGGGGAGGAATTTAATTCCCCATCGCGGGTTAGCTGGTCCCCTTTTAGTCTACTGTGGAAAAGCAACTATAGTCAGCTATATATCCGGAGAAAGAGTTCTCAAAGAGTTCCAAGCTTGCACTTTCCGATCCAGGAGCTGCCGGACCAGGCCCTGGTAGGGACTTCAAAGTAGCGGCAACCCCCCGCACCAATACATCTATCGTAGGCATAGGTATCGAAGTAGGCGTTGTATACTCCGCATAATTATATAAAGATACTTGGTAGATGATTGAACCGGATATATAAACACTTACCTTACGAGCATGAGTTGCAAGTTGAGTGATTAAAAAAAAAACTCATAAAATAAAATTAAACAATATGTACTAACTAGAGTTCGACACATTAGGCCATTTTGCACGTGTATGAATGATTGTACAGTATAGTATTCAATGGTAGAGCTAGCTATAGGGCTAGAGAGGCTATCGATTCTGACTGATAACACCCGGCCACCGGCTGGCTGGAGCCAGTGGTACTTCGGAGGTTCAACTGTGCAATCGGCTTGATTTTCGACCGCGGCCTATCTCTCGCGAACTGTTCTATGAAGCTTCCACGATCATCAACTGTACGAATTAATTTCATTGATCATGAGCTCATAAGTCAATCAATACTTACCACAAAATGAAAATACCCCATAACACGGCTCTAGAAGTTAATCCAAAGTTATAATTAAGGCATATCTCGTGACTATATAGAAAATACCTTGCAGCAGTGATTATTGACTCTTTCTACATCCGTGCACGGTGGTGAATGATCATAGAACATTCTACTGAGGTGCGTTTATTTTGTATATACCAGCTATTAAGTCAACCATGACGATATATCGGTGGTGATGATGTGGCTAAACAAGCATCACAATAACTTAATACTGACTCCATAATTAAACCTAGGTACCTATCTCAGGGTCTGGCTAAGGAAAATTTCACCCCCTTGAATTCAATTGGGGTTCGTACTAGTCCTCTAAGTACAATACCAACGTTTTATCTAACATGTACTAGTGTGCAAGGCTTAGCTAAAGGTTGATTAATCTCGCTTCTTTCAGCTCTGGGGGCCAAAAACCCTGGTCAGGTATGTATACTGCCAATAAAATCAGCTACACGTATCATTGGAACCGCACGTAGAATTAACATTTGTATATACCTGGTAAAACTCCTCAGCAGTGCACATCATTGCCTTTTACTCGTTGGTTATGATGTGCAGTGTGCATCTGGGCATCGGCTTCTTGCGTTTCCTATATCATATGATATTTTCATAGCCATGGCCAGCGGCAAAACAGTTGAATTGACGCACCCTTGTTGGGATGTGTATCTGCCTAGCTAGTCTATGACGATTGTTTATTTCATGTATTGCCAATAATTGCAGCCCTTAAATTTCCTCGCTTATGTTTACGATATCTGGTAATTATAATGCAATTAACGTTATAGGAAATCTATACACTTTCGAAATCATTACCCTGTCCGAGAAGGGAACTGTGAATGCGAAATTCGAAAATCAAAACAAGTGAGCACAATAATATGACAAGAAAATTAGACCACAAGCGACATTTTCAATAATCAATTATGCTGAAACCTCAGTTGCCGTTCAAGTTCAAGTCTCTAAATCTTTACACGCTAGTACAGCTACGTGATCGTCTCCATCACCCCCGGCCCCGACCTCTATGTCTACACTTGACTCTCCACAACGTCCTGCAGATCCGTCATGAGGAAATCAGAACCCCCCCTCTTTCTCTTCGCACTCGTAGCGCCGCTGCCCTCGGTGATCATGAACCGCATCTTCAGCACCTGGTTTTGGCTTTCAAGCTTCCTATTTTGCTCCTCTAACTTCCTGTTCCTGCTTTCTAGCCTATCAATCTTCTCTTGCAGTTTATCCTCCCGTGCCTCTAGCCTCTCGATCCGTTTCTCTTTCTGTGTGTTCTCGTATTGTAGTAGCTCGATCAATGATGACGAGGACCGCGGGTCAGCGATATTCATCATTGGCTCCTTAGCCGTAGGTTGTGGTGGGGGTAGTGGAGGAGGAGGGCGTGATGAATATTCTGTTTGGCGATACTGCCGCCTTTGGCTAGAGTTTGTGGATTGCGGCGGCGACAAATTTGCCGGCGGGGTGGTATCGCGAAGTGCAGATAGTTCGGGGTCAAAGCGTGGGGGATGGGGGGGGATATTATATCCTGATGATGGACCACCGCCATCTCCACCGAGGTCTGTTGCGAGGGCGTCATGGTCAGTGGTGGTATCACCGCCTTCGTCCTCATCAAAGGCGCCGAGCCCACCGATCTCCCAAGGGATAACCCGGGCCTCTGCGTCCCATGAGAAGTTTGCTGGCCCTTGGAGGCGGTTGTTACTATTACTATTACTGGTGACGCGTGAATCCCTGTGCTACATCAGTCGCAGTTTTTATTTTGGTTATCTATGATATATTTTGCATACCATTGTTTCTGTAACGCGTCACTTGTGCGGGTTTTAAAGCCGTTACTTTCAGCCCAGTTGTTATACTCTTCTGTGACGCCTTGCCACCCCTCTTGGCTCCCGCCCTCTACTGAATGCAATCTCGCAAGCCGAAGGAGTTCCTCGATCTCGGTCTCCCCAAGCCCTGTTCCTCCTCCTCCTCCTCCTCCCCCGCCTTTGGAGGTCTTCCCAGCCCTTGGCTTTGGAGTTCCCGCCGCGGCGGCTTCGGCTTCTTTCGCCTCCACGCGGATGATTTGTTCTCGCTCCTCTGGTGTGAGACCCGTGCATTCATCGACGAGATGACGAGTCCGCTCTTCCGAACGGCCCTTTGGGATCTTTTTATGACAGCGTATACATGACACTTGATATTTGTTGGAGCGATTCTGGAGCGCGGCGTCTTTATTGAAGTATTCAGCCCATTTGAAGGGGCGAGGCATCTTATAATGTCTATAATTGGAAGAATATGTTAGAAACAAAATCACTTATACTCTCGATTTTTTAAGTGCCAAAAAGGAAGAGTACTTTTTTTTTGTTTGTGCGGCTTAATCGATAATAATAGAGACCCGAATCTTAATTCTGTCAATCGTCGACGGGGGGTTGGCCGTTGTTGTTGTGTCGGCGGGGGGCAGGTTGCTTAGGTTGGCAGATCAACAAGTATTAAGCGAGAGTCTCACTCCCCATGAAAATTGCATAAAAGACGTTCTATCCAAGAATATTCCCATTAGCAATGCACGATAGAGAGATAATGCATTTCTGTTGTACAATTGTTTTTTGGTTCTCGATTTCTGGGATGGCCGATGGGGCTTGTGCTGCTGCGGCCTAGTACCAAGCCACGATAGGTTTTCTGCCAAATCCAGTAGGCAGAACCTTTCCGTTGACCGCACCTTAGGTACGGAGCTAGAGTAACTAATTGACTGAGTGGATTAACCGTACCCATGGAGCCCAGGCTCTTAAGCTCCAAGAACTCAAGCAAAGAGCGCATATGAATACCTAATCAGTTATAATTAGCAAGGACAGAAGCTTTGACATTGCGATACCGATGGATAAGAACTTGCACGTATTCTATGAAAGGGTCAACGGCGTAAGGATGGCGAGGAACTGAGTAGCCCGGAAATGACTACATAAGAAAAGTTAAGTAAATACAAATAGCTCACCTTGATTCCACCTTACCCCGCATCATAAAGTACTCAAAGTAGAAGAGTCTAATAATCATCACAATAGAGAGGAATTTGAAAAGGCCAATAGCTTCCCAATCCAAGCTTTTGTATGCAACTCTGAGATTAAATTGTGGTGCATTCTAGCTAGCACGTGTGCGCACACAAATATCACATATGTTTCGCATATAACGCCAAAGGCCTACTTAAGCGATACAAGTACATGTATCTGTCAAGGGTTCTGACTCCCTGCCAAGTAATTACAGTTTGCTTCCTCTCTAATCTAGAGTATTTTTTGATATGCAAGTGTTTGCGCTCCGGAGACATTGCACTGGTATCAGTACGTAGTAGGCCTCTTGCAAAAAGTGACGTACCTATACGTATACTGACTGACCTAGGAATGTGATCAGCGTTATTATAATACTACACCTTTTTTTAATCTCCGCATCAGATAGTCCTCACGTGTACTCCAAGATTGCCAAATCACGGGATCTCCGTAGTGAAAATCGCATTTAGGATTGACCTCGGTTCAGCCCAGTTAAAAATATAGTAGAGGTACGTAGTCACGTAGTGAAACGTTGAGATGACAGCTTCAGCCTTATCGCTGGCACATCCAACCAGCTTTCTCACAATAGTAGTGGAATCAGATTATTTTATTTCTTTTGCTCTTCAGCACCTCGGGCATGGCGGTGTCGAACATTTCGAGAATTCTTCTTTGAACTTCTTTTCACCGGCCAGTCGAGTGATGTGGGTACACCGTATTCAGCTCCTATAGTTCGTAGATCGTGTCAATCCCACTGAAAGTGCTACTGCTTGGATCCCATGGAGCCAGTGAGTAGTACTAGGCATTTCTATGCATCGTTCAACCCACGAGATGCAATTTCAACTGCCAAACATGCACTAGCAATTAGCGACTCCTATGCAACTCAGTATGCGTTTCTTCTCCATATCAGGTTGGGATGCAAGCCACTTGCAACGTAATGCAAGACCTACCCATGAAATCAGCTCCCCGCGCGCCAGTTGCGAAGATCGTCCATTAAAAAGGGAGGAAACCTGAGGGCCGGTTGCTTTAATTTGTGATGAGCCAGGGTTCCGACTACGCGCGCGGCAGCCTAAAGCTAGGGCCAAGCTTTTGAGAGCCTCACCAGGCGAAGTGATGGAAATAGAACATTTCGCAACCCGGGAAATGAATGGCGCTTGTCATGCGGAAATTCTGGCTGAAGACGCTGAAGCCACTGAACTGGCTGATTACATATTGATTATTGATGTCATCAGTCGACAAGGGTGATGTCGATTTGATCATATTATGTCACTCGGTTTTCTACTGATCTCTGATATGATAGTCTATAAATCTTTAGTGATTTGATTTCAAGAATGATCTGATCAACTGACGTTATGTGTATGTAGTAGAGGCCCCGAATACATTAGTAATTCTACATAATTACAAGTAGTCACAATACCGGTTACTGTAACTCAAATCGGAAAGAAATGTTCTATGGTACGTTGTAGGCTTGGGGAAGTGCTGCCTTTCCATATGTATACTGTCTTGCTTAATGCATAAAAAAATGGAAACCTATGGTGGTCCGTTGAATTCTAGACAGATCCAATAATACTCTGACAACCGAGTTGTGTTGTGAGTATATACATGTAGTAGTATTCTTAAAGTTAATGAGATGAAATATGTCGAGGTTTTGATACATCCAATCACGGCTTCTCACTCGATGGTACCAGACCCCTTATATTGCCCTGGACATTGTGGAGAAATGAAGCCATGGGTTGATATTTCTCTTTCAGTGGACTTTTCTAGTAATAGTAAATGAGGATAACAAGTAGCTGAGGGTTCTTTTTGATTCCGCCCCAAAACAACCGCTACACGTGCTTACTTATGTGTATGTGTGAGTGTACTGCAAGTGCGTTACTAGCTACATGTACGTAATTGAGAACTAAAATTTATCCGAAAGCAACTAGCGGCAACTAAGAACATGAATCCCAGATACGTGTAAGTAGCGTTAGCTTACATTGTATCGACAGCCTTGGGCGGGGAAGTTTCTGGGACGTGGTCGCAAATCTAGGAAACGCCCTTGTGCAACGTCATCAACATCTGAGATTGACTTTATACCATGATCTGATGAAGAGCATTGTTACTTAACTACATGTACTTCTTCTATCAACACCAAAATCAAAATCAAATTCAACCCTTGTTCACGCTTATTATCTCTACCACCCAAGTCCCCTTAATTAAGCTTGCGTTTCGATTGTTACGGATCCATGGTATATTTCACATGACCTACTCTGTAAGTCACCGGCCTACCACTTGATATAAATATTTTAGTGATCAGAGCGCACGTTGTGTTCTGATTAAAACTCTAGTATTTACTTCAATGAGAGCCATTCTAACATTGCGAAAGCCTCTAGCTGACTCGGGTTTCTAGGGGATGTCTTTCACACTAGCCTTGCCTTCACATAGATATCTCGTGAAAACACAACGAACTACATACATCCTCGCGTTGATAGTATACGTACAGATATCGCACCGCAGCAATAGCTACTACACAGATTTCCTCCTTTGGGATCCAATGATATACGAAGGTTACATTAGTCACTTCCGGATGGCCTGGCCATAATGAGCAGGAGGATAAGGAGAGAGAGAAGGAGAAGTAAAGTCTATTCACATCCCCCACGAATTTTGTGAGAATTACTATGATACTAGATACGCATAGGTTAAAAATCTAAACAATTTTCATGGCATCCTACTACACAAATCCGATGGAAACTAAAAGCAAAGATGGAAGCACGGAAGGCTTCGTTGAGGTCATGAGAAACCAGCCTGGACATTCCTGTTTCGGGTTTGAAGGTTATCAAGGCTCAAAGGTATATATTCATGTTTCCCCAATGCCTTGCTTGGAAAGTAACTGTGTAAAAGCAGTCATTGATATGACGGGGAAAGCGAGTTTCCCCAGGTAGGCTGGCAATTTAGGCAATCAAAGGATATATTCTACTGCTGCTAACCTATTATTTGTGCGTCGGCCAGTGTACTCTACTTCCGGTGATATCTCAGTAAACAGGGTATACATTTACAGTTCTCCCTATGCAACCAGATGGAAGAAGCGGGGATATTCTTTCGGGGCTGGAGAGTCCGGCGATGATTCACGTGGTGGGCAATTGAAATGGTGCCGGTCGTAATGTCATTTTTACCATTAATGAAGGCCTGCCGAAATATGACACGGCATAGCCGCAGCCCGACGACGAATTCTCAGGTAACGTGCATCTAGAAGCTCTCTTAACGTTCGTGAGGCATGGGCTATCGAAGAATAGATAAAAAAAGAAAAAAAGAATGATCAAAGATCCTCATAAAGCGAGATTTACCACCGGCTGGACATTACTATTACAGACTATGAAGGCTCTATTGCGCACAGTACTTAAGCTTGTCGCCTAACTCTATAAAAAGATTTCTCAAGGCAGAATAGGCGAACCAGCTATGGAAATGCACATAAAGTCGTTATCGTGCGAATTAAGCAGTCAATATCTCCTGGCGAGTATGCAAGGATCGAAGTCTATTAATCATGCACGTTTTCATCATCATCGTCATCATCATCATCATCCTCTTCATCTTCGTCTTATTCATCTTCGTCTTATTCCTGCTTCTCCCATCATCCTCAAGCAGATATATATTGTGCGCAGAAGCCGGTGCATTCGTGGATTCTAGTTGACGACAGCTGCATTAACATTGAGAAGAAGAGGAAAGAAAAGAAGGAATACTCTTGGGATTGGGCAACTGACATGGAGATGTTCTGAGCGCGGTGCTCAATCAGTATGTGATAGTCCCATCCGCCCCATCCTCTTGCGATAATCTATTAACAGTATCTATAATCGCTACATATCATTCAATGAAATTGAAGCTACGGCTCATGCCACGATATATATATGCACATGTATCTGAATAACGCATTTCGCACATGTGCGAACTCAACTCAACACAACGTGGGCTCTAGAACGATATGTTGAACTAGATCCAATGGCTGCAACTCAACGTAAACAGAAAGAAACATGCACTCTGTTCATATGCTGCATAGCGATTGGTTATCTTAATACTGAGCGGCTGGCAGTGCGAACGCTTCCAGGATAGAGCTTCACGATGTGATTAACCTTTTATTCTCGAAACGAAATCTAGAAACGAAATTGTTTGTCATTGACATTAAATTCGTTATACTAATGAAAAGCACTTGATCCTCATACAGGCATGCTGAGTGCATATTTGTGCATTATTCACATACCCGGAAACTCATCTCACGCGACCACGCGTTGGCGAGTAAGAACACACAGAGCTCATGTACGTTGAGATTCACGGAAACTTGCACGACGTTGAATCTTACATGTTTAGACATTTACCTATTCGCCCGTTATTAGGCGCTAGGTCGGCTCTGCGCCTGAAGTCTATCTCTTGAGGGTGCAATTAGCTGGTCTGCCGTCTTTAATTTTACTACATAGGCCCATTCAGAGTCGAGACCCCGAGGACGCTCCCAATTCAAATCTCTCGCACGTGAGTGATCCACGTGATCTGCTTATTATTATTTTTATTTTTTGGTTATGGGGCTCGCAGAGCTAGAGCCAAACCCTTGGATAAAACGACAGCGGCGGTGCAGTTAAGGCGTCATCAACTCGAAAGCGAAACCATAAGCAGTATTGCTACTGGCTGGAGGGCGAATTTAGTAGATTACATACATGTAGTTGTGGTTCTCCCAGCATACTTTACTAGTTCAAGCCTCTCCCGTCTCCGGTGGGCGGGTATCGTATGGGGGGTTTCTTGGTGAAGTACGATGAATGTGCCCCCATAAAAGTGCAGCTCTGTGATCCTGAAGAGCCTTTTTGTGACGAGAGGAGGGTAAATTACTGATATCTGCTTAGGTTAGAAAGGCGTGCATGGTATGCATGCAGAGTGCTCGGAAGATTTTTCGTTCTCATCGAGGAGTGTGATGTTTATTATTCGATGCCGGGAAATCATGGAGGTCCTGCTTGCTGTCTACCGTTAATTACGATGGCATGGTCAGATAGAAGGAACCTTTTTCTTCCTTCACGGTTGCGTGGTATAGGTATTTTCTGTTACTCGCTGCAGGTCTGTAGATCCAGGAGGAAGAGCTGGAACAAAACAACTCACAAGCGGCTGAATGGGCGGGTGACATCAGACTGACGTCGGGAATAAGCAGAGTTTTCCCAATTTTTGAGAGAAGCGTCCTCAATATGGGCCGCCGCCCGCCGCGCAGGCTCATAAGTGATCACTCGTTCGGTTGCTAAGTAAGACTCCGACTCGTAGGTATGACAGTGGGTAATACACTAATTCTCCACTAAGTATCAAGCTTTGGGTCAAGGAAGAGGGGAGAAAGCAAGGACCCCGGGGGGGGGGGGGGGGGGTTGGTTGCGCTGTCCGGTAGGGTCCGAGTGAACGACAGCAAGTCTTGCTATTCTTGGCGCGACGGGTGTGACTGCCCTGTGGGGTCATTCGTAGGTTCTGTATGAAACCTTTTTTTTTCTTGACAGAAACCTTTTTTTTGTTCTCTCCCCCCGCTTGGAAAAGGTTTGTATGCCTACAGTAGGGGTCACGTTCATTTCATTTCCTTGTTCCAGTTGAGCGAGTGGGAGAAAAAAAAATAATGGGCGAAAAAATGGTTTCTTTTTCGAGAAAGAGAGACTCGTAGTGAGAACAAGAGAGAGAGGGAGCGAGAGAGAGCGAGTCCAATTCGCAAAGGGAAAAGCAGGGTCAAGTGACTGCAGCATGGGAGTGGGAGGGTTCTTACATAACCCTGCAAGTATGTAGGCGGCTCACTTCTTGTTCGCCAAGGACCGGAAGGGAGGGGGAATTCGAAAGTTCGAATCGTCGATTAGATCCATGGAAAAGCGGAGTCTGTCAAGTGAGTCCAGTCAGAGTCAAGGAAAAAGTCACTCGCACGATTCTCGCTCTCACTCACACACCCGCCGCTTCCTCCACTCTACTCCGTTTCGCTTGAGCACTCCACAACCAACAACAACACCCTGCTGTACTGTACTGTACTCTCTACGTTTTTTTACTTGCCCTCCTCTCGCTCCTCATATTCCTGTGAATGAGAAGAAGAAGAAGAAGAAGCACCTGGTAAAAGTAGGTCGTTTCATATCATAGGTAGAAGAGGAAGAAGAAGAAGAAGAGAATTAGGTAGTCTTCAGTCGGTCGCCTTTCCAACGAGTCGACTACTCCGCTCTCACTACAGTTCTAGCTCCTCAACAACACCGATCGATACTACCATTTCTATCTGGTGTGTCTTTTTGGCTTTTTTTTTTTTTTTTTCGCTGTCTGGGTCTAGGTGTCGCTGCCTACTACCTACTTACCTGCCTGCCTCTGTCTGTCTTTGTGCCCCGCTCTGCCTCTGCGTGTCTGTCTGTCCTTAGATCTGATCAGTTGCGCCGAATCCCACAATCCACTCGCATACATACTGCTGCTACATACCTACATACCACACCTTACCCACTACCCACTGTTGCTTGATCTCTGAACCCGAACAACGTTGCTTCCCTACCATCCATATATCCACACATCCACAGATCCACACATCCATACATCCATACATCCATACATCCATACACCCACACATACATTCTACCTTTCATTACCTAGTAGTAGCTGTCGGGGGAGGACGAAGAAGTCTGGAGACCTTTTCCACGACACCACCACCACCGCAGCGTCCACAATCACAACCCACCCACTCTCTCTTCCCACAACCCTTTTTTCCACCAGTGCATCCCGCCGCCTTGTCAGTTTTTTCTTAGTTAGTAGTCAATACCGTCGCTCCCTCACAACGACGACAACGACAACGGCCACGACCACCGCGACCACGACCACGAACACCATCACGAACACCACCACCACCACCACCACCACCACCTCCACCTCAATAATCACAACCATACCACTCAGCCATTCATCCATTCACTGATCACCTCGGGGGTCCACTCACCTGCAAGCACGGACCTCCCACACAGAGTACCTGTGTCCTTTCCCCTCACATCCCCTCACATCCCCTCCTCTCTTTCCTTATCCCTCCCTCGTCTGATCGTCCACGGGCAGACAGGACAGACCCACAGGCAGGCAGGCAGGCAGGCAGGAAGGAAGGAAGGCAGGCAGGCAGGCAGGTAGAGGCAGGCAGTAGTGCAGTGACCGTGAACGACGATACTCCTCTCCCCCGTCGATACTAAGGCCCTGCAATATAGTTAGCAGAAAGGAATCCTTTCTTACCTTCTCCTACCACCACCACCGAACCCCCCCCCCCCCCCCCCCCAAATCCACATACACCAGACCCACCATGGCCTCTTCTTCCCATAACCCCCATCATCTTCACCCCCAACACCATCAGCTGCTGCTCCAACAACACCAACAGCACCAACAGCAGCAACAACAGCAGCAGCAGCAGCAGCACCACGCTGTACACCATCAGCAGCAGCAGCGTCCCTCCACAAAACAACCCAACCATCCCATAAATCCCTCCCCATCTCCTGTAATGCCCTACCTCGCTGCTGCTGCCGCGCCCTCAAACCCATCCAGCAGCTCATCGTCCCCCGCCGCACACGCATCGGAGCCCCAGGATCATGAGCGCCCGGTCAAGCGACAGCGGACCAACGCCTCGAACATGAAATTCCCGCCCCAGGCGGTCAATGTCGCACACCCACAGCAACAGCAGCAGATCCACCAGCGTCACCACCAACAGCCAAAGACGGACCCGCCGCCCCAGCCGACCATTGTGCAGCCCCCACCCCCGCCGCCGCCACCCCCTCCGGCGGCCCCGCCGGCGGTCACGTCGCCTGTGAGTGCGACGTCGAGTTCGAGCGTGCCGTTTCTGCGCGTCCAGGAGCAGGGGTCCAGTGAGACATTTGCGCTGCCCCTCGCGGCGGTGTCGAATTGGGATGTTTGTAGACCCTTCCTCTTCTTCTTCTTCTTCTCCTGTCCTACCCGATATGTCTCATCCATATTGCCGTATTGTTGAAGATTCAAAAGCCATGCTTTTTGTTCCTCCCCCCCCCCCCCCCCCAACGTAGAAAGAAAGGTCATCTAACACGTGCGCCGCACAGACGCTCGTAACCGTTCTCCGAGAGCTGTTCGCAAAGCCTCCGCACTCGACGCCGAAACTGAAGACGCACCGCGGCGACACCATAATCAAGCCGCTGATCAAGCACTTCCTCAAGGACGGCGTCCACCTCTCTGTCGCCTTCGACGACCACGCACCCCCCCACCCGCAGCAGCAGACCGTGGTAGTACCCCAACCGGTAGTGCAAGCGCCGCAACAGACCCACGTCCCGGCACCCCCGCAGCTGCAGCAACAGCAGCAGCAACAGCAGCAATCCCACCACCCATCCCCCGTGCCGCCCCCGCTCACAATCACCGCCAGCAACCTCAACCCCGGAATCAGCGCCTCCAACACCAACGGCAACGTCAACGGCGTCAACGGCGGCGGCGGCCCCGGCGGCGGCAACAGCAACAGCAACAACAACAACGGCGGCGGCGGCAACGCAAACGGCATAATCCCCTCCCCAACATTCCCGTCGCAGCCGCTCCCCCCCGCGCAGAACCCACCAACACCCTACTCCCCGCCGCTCCACACCTCGTCAACACCGTCAACACAGTCCTCGTCGCCCCTCACATCCATCTCCGCCGGGCTGTCGTTCCCGGCCCCCGCGCCCGCCGCGACTCAGATACCGATGTACAAGATGTCGCGCTCGCTGTCGACGGTGGCCGGGCTGTGGCAGGAGTGGAAGCAGGGGCTGGGCACCGAGCCGTCCGTCGAGAGCCTCGAGGCCCGCTACGGGCCCAAATGGCGCACGTCGCAGGCGGAGCGCAAGTTCTACAGCAGGCGCAAGGTCATCATCGAGGAGATTACGAAGCGCATCAGCACGGGCATGGAGGCGTGGCGCGCCGTGGAGGAGGTCGAGGAGGTCCGTGGCGGGAAGAGCCTCGACGGGCTGAGCAAGATGATTGTGGAGCGGCGGAAGAGCGCCGTGGGCGGGGGGCAGGGCGGGCGCGGGCGGGGGCGCATCGGGGCTCCGCAGGGGCAGGGCGCGCAGGAGGAGGATGATGAGGATGATAACTGGCAGACTATGGGATAGGGTGGGGTAGGGTAGGGGAAGGTGGCGAAACGGACTTTGTTGGAGTGGTGTTCTAGGTGTTTGTGACGGTGCTTTTTTCTCTTTTCTTTTTTTCCTTTTTTTTTTTGCGGCGTTTGTTCCCCTCTTCTTTTGTTCGGCTTGGCTTGGACCTGGTTTGTTGTTGTGGTTGTTGTGGTTGTTGGTGCATTTTACCACTGGCCGTGTGTTGGGAGTATCTATCGTTTTGGATTTTTTTTTGTTTCCCAACTAAGATTGAGTTGGGGCGAGTTTAGCCCTACTACTACTTACTAAATACATCGGCTACAATCCCCTTTCCTTCGTTTTCCTTCCCTGCCCTCAATTTTTTCTATAGCCCGCTGGATCTTTTTTGCAGATCGCCATATATCTCTACATATATATTGTCATCTTTTCTTCTTTCTCCTTTCACGCTCGTTCTAAAATTTCATTTCTATATATCTAGTCTGGTCTGACGACGGGGGAAAAACTCATGGGGGGAAGGGGGGAGAGATCGATGAAAAAAAAATCGGGAAAATTGGTTGGGAGCATTCATTCATATGATCATTGGCATTGGCATGGCATTTTGGGGGGGGGGGGGATATCCGGAAAAATCTTAAAAAAAAAAGTTCATTTTGCGGGAACCACGCGTGCGGGAACCAGGGGGACAGGGAAGGGGGTTAAAAAAAAAAACGGAGTTTTGTTTCTATTTACTTTTTCTGTTTGTTCAATGGGCTGTCTTTTCGATCTGGCAATCATCCATCCACATCTATCAGTCGCTTTTTTTTTTAACTTTTTTTTTTACGTGATATATTATAAACCGTTTTCTTCTCCCCCCGGTTCTTGTTTGGTTTCTGGTTTTCGGCTTTCTGGTTGGGTGTTTTTTTTTTCGGCGGGATTGATGATACCCTGGAGGTTTCTTTTTTATTCTTTTCCTTTCCCTCTTTCTTATCTTTGCGGTTCACGGGGGCTTCAGGGTAGAGATAGTATTGGTTGGAGAGGTGTATGTAGATATCGATCATGGCCTGGAATGACACATGTATTCATGCGACGCAATACATACAATGTGCCAGTCCGTGCGGTGCGGTCTGATAACGGCGGGTTGGGCTGGATTGGTGGCGAGTGATATCCTGTGATGGATGTGTCGTTCACGATGTGTTCGGGATCTGAAATTACATAGTCATCAGTGTATGGTTCCAGTTTTGGAATTAGATAAGGGGTGCTGACTCGTTTTGTTTTGCCTGAGTGCTGGGCGTCTGGTGGGTGCGGGGAGGGGAGGGGGTTCCTCAGGCCGGAGTGGTTGTGGTTATAGTTCTGGTGCTGCTGCTGCTGCTGCTGCTGCTGTTGGTTGTACTGGCCTGGGGATAGGGTTGGTGGTGCGGAGGGCTGGGTTAGGCCAGACGGTTGTGGTTGCCTAGCTAGGTGTGTGCGTTTGCCCGCAGCAAACAAGCGGGTTCTGATTGGTCGGATTGGCATCTTTCCCCGGCGATGACTGTTCCTGCGCTGACTGAGCCTGTGGCGCCTGACAAACTGGGTGTTCAGTGAGGATATCAGTCCCGGCGCTGTGGATGGGGGCGGGTAAGTTTCGCTGCACATCTCAGGTTGTGTGCCGAAAGACAGCCCGAGGCGCTGCCTAGAGCGGGGGAGGTAGAGTATTTCTAGAACGGGTAGGATAAGGTCAACACTGGGGAGCCGAGTAAACACTTAGGAAGGAAAGGAAAGGAAAGGAAAGTAACGGTAATGATTCCGCCCAAGTGTTAACTTGTAGGGGTAGAGTTAAGTGAGTTGAGTTGCATGTATCGACAAAGAGCCCAATTAGCGAAATATATAGCCGCGGATTGGACAAGTGTCGATATGGCAGTGATAGGTGTCGATATGACACGTTTGGACAGTTTTCAGGTACGTATACGGGTTCGATGTTTGAAAAGACAGTTTGCGAACCTAGTAGATATCGAGTGATATACCATGACGTAAATTCGCGAGGACGCCTGCATTGCATGTCTAGCGCTTAGTAATTATCATGCCATGTCTACATCCAGAAGGTAGGTCGGTCACCGGTTGTTGTAGGAAGAATAGACCTTTCAATCATTGATACCACACGCCGAAAGAGCACCACCATCCTCCCCACCAGCTAGGGAGCGATCTACGCGTGTAGCAATCACAGTATCTCACTCGTGTTCTACAGCACCGGGGTCCACGCTAAGACTACATGTGCCTCCTTATCTCCCGTTATCACAGCTACAATCTCTTGGCAGATCTTCTGGGGTGGGATCTCTGGTATATATATGTATGCACGCTCCCGGATCATGAATAGAGTACCTGTAATGTAGATTTAGATCGTAATACTGATGGGCTCTATTCCTCTTCCCAGATATCCGGGCTTCTGCGTTTATGGGTCGGAATATCATTACCCCTTCCCCCCTTCCCTAATCTGAGGATAGCTCGTCACTTGGTATACAACAAACAAGCCAAGCCCTATGCGCTGAAAAAAACAAAAGGTTACAAATTTCCAACTAGACGCCTCCATGGGGTACATAGGGCCAGCACGGGGGCGTGTATGTGATTCCCCCCCTCCCCAAAAGCAGTCCGTCGATCCTAGACCTGCGTATAGCTGAGATTGACCCCACCCATACCACCATGCTGACCCATACGTACGTACCCAGCGTCTACAGAGACGTACTGCCGGTTCAAGTAAAGACATCAATGGTATTTTATGTGGTCCCGTAACTACGTACATCCTAGATAAGATACAGACAGTGCATGCCATCATCCCACATCCCGTCACCGTCACCGTCAATATAGCCCCCTCCCCCCCCCCCCCCCCCCCCCCCCCCGGCCGGCCCCCTTTCTCCGAAGCGTAGAAATACAAACTTCCACCCCTTGGAGCCTCCATCGTAGCAAAAAAAAAAGTTACAGATATGTAGGTATATGTATATCCACAGCAAGCAAGTAATAATAATAGTTAATAAAAAGAAACAGAATGATATCGTGCACCGCAACCAGAAGAATAGAATAGAAAAAGGAAAAGAAATGATTAAGACCGTAATGTAATGGATATCTCTGTTTTTGCCTTTCCCCCCCCCCCCCCAAAACCCCCTCCTCCGATTTTGATGTATCGCCCGAACAAACTCCGCCCCGCGTGCGAGCAGATTAGTGGGAGAACCGGTAAACACAGACGTAGTAGAAAGAAAAAAGAAGAAACAGAACAGAACAAAAGACAAACAGGCACCGATATAACAGCAGACATGGCCCTAAAAGCTACAAAGGATATGTCTACACTTCCATCAAAACAAAAGAAACCGAAAACCGAAAACAAAAACCTATCCAACACCATCAAACCCAAAACAAAAACCACCCCCCCCCTTTCTACGTCGGCGGCGGCGCCATACAATCCTCATCATACCCCAACAGCGGCCCCACATAATCCACCAACCGGTCATAAACATGCAGCAGCCCCCGGGGCGCCGCATACTGATACTGGTCGTGCCGGCAGCTCATATAGCACGCATCGTACCAGTTGGGCCGGTTCGTGTACACGCCCAGCGAGTCCTCCCACACGCGCTGCTGCTCCTTGAGCCGCGTGTACATGTACACGTTGAACATGGTCAGCGCGACCAGCCCGCTGATGAGCAAGAAGCTCAGGATGCTCCAGGCCGCGGAGGGGCGGGGGCCCGCGCGCAGAAGGTCGGCGGAGCGCCCGAGCGGGATGCGGCGTGCGTTGGCGTGGTGGAGACGTAGGCCCGTCATGGGGTCGACGAGGTAGGTGGGTGTCTGCGGGGCGCCTGCGCCGGCGGCGGCGGGGGGAGGAGGAGGTCCGTCTCCGGCAGCGGCAGCGGCAGCGGCAGCGGCAGGAACGGGGGCGGGGGCGGGAGGGACAGGTGGCGGAGCGGGGCCTTCTGGCGGGACGGCGGCGGTGGGGAAGTTGTCGAGGCCGATCAGGCCGTTGTTCTTCATCACGAGCATGATGTTGTCGTTGCTGGCCAGCGCCTGGTAGTCGGCCCAGTCCATCGACCTCAGGATATGCCACAGCATCCTCCACGGCCACGCAAGAACACCGAGCGGGTTATGATACGGCACCATCGTCTCCAGCCTCTCCTCCCTCGGCCACTCCGCCTGCCGCACCGCGCGCCGCGACGCCCTCTCCACCCGCCCCGCCAGCAGCCAGATCGTCTTCAGCAGCACGTTCTCCGGCGGGCTGAACTGGCTCTCGACGAAGCGCGCAACCTCGTGGGCCTCGTCGATGGTGAGGCGCGCCTGCTCGTTGAGCTGCTGCAGCCGCACCCGCGTCTCGAGCGTGGTGCTGATGCGCTCCACGTACTCGCCGTCGGGCGCGGGGATGCGGAACTTGCCGATGTATGCGCCGTCGCCCATTGCCGCGGCCCGCTCGCGCCCGGCCACGAAGGCGCGGCGCCGGGGGTCGCGCTCGCCGGGCTGGCCGGCTGCGGCCCGGTCTGCGGGCGCGCGCATGTAGGCGCCGAAGTAGTACTGGCGGTAGGCCTCGTAGTTGCGGCCGGCGGCGCCGCGCGGGATGCGTTGGTCGACGGTCAGGTAGTTGCCGTAGTAGTACTGCATGTAGTCGGCGTAGGGCTCGTGCTGGCCGCGGTCGCGGGGCGGGAAGAGTTGCGGGTCGCGCGGGAGGGCGCCGGCAACGACGGGCTCACGGTCCGGGGGGATGCCCATGCCGTAGTCGTGCGGGTGCGGCCATTGGGAGCGGGGTTGGTCGCGGAATCCTCTGCGTTTGGCTCGGCGGTTTCGGGCTTCGTCTGATGATACGCCGCTGGTATCACCGCCGCCGCCGCCGTCTGGAACTGGAACTGGGACTGGGACTGGTGGGACTGGGGCTGGCGGGACTGGGACTGGGGCTGGCGGGACTGGAATTGGGACTGGGACTGGGGCCGGGACTGGGACTGGGGCCGGCACTGGGACTGGGGCCGGGGCTGGGACTGGAACCCCACCACCACCACCACCACCACCACCACCACCACCGTCACCACCAGCATCTCCTCCGCCAGCAACACCCGGCGCTCCATGCCCCGCCCACCCGCCCCTAAGATTACCACTAGCAAGGCTCGGGGCCGGATCCGTCTGCGAAGCGCTATCCACACTACTCGGCGACCCTCCCGGCGACAGCAGCTTACTCTCCGGCGTCGGGGTCCTCGAGGGCGGCAGTGCCGTTTCCGACGGTGTTGGTGGTGCCTTGATGGCTGCTTTATCCCCGTCCTCAGTTTCTTCAAGGTGCTCTTCTAGGTCTTCCTCCTCCTCCTCCTCCTCCTCCTCCTCCACGTCCAGGTCCACCCGCTCCAGCTCGTCCTCCGAGAACGTCAGATCCCCGCCTTCGCTCGAGCCACTCAGCTCGCCCAGGTCCTCGGGCTCAGAGAGCCGTTCGTCGTCCTTGCCTACGGGGGGCAGCGGCGTGAGCAGCCCCGGGTACTCGCCCGCGAGGTCGGCAATCAGCTGCGCGAACGGGTAGTCGCGCGCCATGTCGAGGACAAGCTCGCGGTACGGGTAGTCCTTCGCCATCTCCTTGACGGCCTCCAGCTTCAGCAGCCTCGTCTGCGTCACGACATCCCGTCTCGCCATCGGCGTTTCCGCACCCCCCAATCCTACTCCTGCTACTTCCAGCAGCGTCTTCTCGCCGCCCGACGTCTCCTGCGTCGGCGTCGTCACATCGCGTAGCTTCCCCTGCTGCTGCTGCTGCTGCTGCTGCAGCTCCGCGTCTTCTTCCTCCTCTTCGGCCACTTTGTCTAAGGTCTTAGCTTCATCTTCATTTTCATCTTCACCGTCGTCTCTGGGCGCCGCCGGTGGCGGCACATAGCCCTCCCAGTCCTTCTCGCGGAAGCCGTGCGGGTACTCACCGATCGTTGTATCATAACCCACGCTGCCCAAGCTGCCGAAGCTGCCGCTGCCATCGCTCGCCGACGGCTCCGAGTTGTACCCCCACCTGTTCTCGTCGTCGCTCGGGCCGTCAAGTTTCACGCCGCCCAGCATGGCCCCCAGCGACGTCCGCGTCCGCCGGAACGTCCCCTTACCCGGCGAGACGCCCGGCGTCAGATGCTCCACGTCCGCTCTACACGCCGCCAGCTCGCCGCTCAGCACCGCCATCTTCTCATGCGACGCCTCCAGCTCGCTCTTGACGCCGCGGATGATCTCGTCGCGCGTCTCGACCGCCTCCTTGAGGCTGCTGATGCGCGCAACATACTTTGTCGCCTCGTCCTTGTTCCGATCCAGCACCCTCAGCGAGTCGAGCCCGTCCTCCTCCACCCTCCCCAGATGCTTCTGCAGCCTTGCCAGCTTCTCGCCCACCCGCGCCCTCTCACCGCGCTCCCGCTCCGCCGCACGCACAGCCTCGTCGCGCTCCTTGCACACCCGCTCCATGTCCTTCTCCAGCGCCACATACAGCGCCTCAATCCTGCCCAGATCCCGGATCAGCACGGCGTTATGCTCATACACCACCCCCACCGCGCCCTCGGCCTCCTCGCACTTGCGCTGCAGCTCGCCCAGCCGCCCCTCCTCGTACTCCGCGCTCTCGACCGCGCGGCTCTCAAGCGCCCCCACGTGCGCCTGCAGCTCGCGCAGCTCGCGCGACCGCGCCTCGGCCACGGCCCACGCGTACCGGAAGTCCGTGAGCACGGTCATGACGTCGAGCGCCGTCAGCGCCTGCAGGTTCTCGATTGTCGTCGGCGTCTCCAGCGAGAGTAGGTTCGGCCGGAACAGCGCCAGCTCCATGTCGAGCTCGAACGGGGCCAGGCCTGTAAGACTGCGTCTGCGGCGGCTGCGGGAGCTGCTGGAGCCGCCGCGGGAACGGCCGCGGGAGCTGGGGCGCGAGGTGGAGTGGTCGCGGTCGTCGCCGGCGGGGCGGAGGGGCGCCATGCGTGGGGGGCCCGGGAAGATGCTTCTTTCTGTGGGGCCGCCGCCGCGGGAGAGCGGGCGTGGGGAGCCGGAGCGGAGGGTTGGGTTGGTGCCGGGGCGGTTGGGGCTAGAGTAGCGGCGGGGTGTTGTGACGCCGGGGAGGGCGCGGCGGCTGGGGGTGGTGGCGCCGAGAGGGGTGGAGGTGCTCAGCGGGGTGGAGAGGATGCCGGTCGTGTCGTCGTTGTATGCGAAGCTACGGGGGGAGGGGGGCACGGGGCCCACAAGTGCGTGCCAGAGCGAGTTGCCCTCCGCGTCTTCATGGAAGCAGGGGGAGAGCGGGGGCGAGCCCGCGCTGAACGGGGGGCCGTCCCGCGCGATCATGGCGGGGTCGCCGACGGCCTCGTAGACCTCCTCCTCTGCCTGCCCGACAGTGCGCACGAGCTCCATGAGCTCCAGGATGCCCTGGTCTTTGTTGATGTCGTCGAAGGCGCGGATGAACTCGTCCTCCGTGAGCAGGAGGTCGGGCGCCTTGTCGATGGTCTGGTGGATTGTGGGTTCGGAGGCTTGCTGCAGGATGCCGTATTTTGGGCAGCCGGGGAGCGAGGCTTCGATCTCGCGGATGAGCGGGATGAAGTCGCGGATGGAGATCTGGTTCATGGGTTAGCACTCGCACATCACACTAGATGGGAGAGAAGGAAGGGGGCTAGCTGGCTGCCTTACACTCCCGGTGCCGTTGGGGTCGAAGCGCTTGAATATTGCGGAGAACATCGCCATGGCGCTCCAATTGCTCTGCTGTTGTCGTTCACTAAATAGTTTCCGCCTGACCTCCTCGCTGCTTGCTCTGCTGTCACTACCACTGCTTCGCTGCGCTTCTGCTTCCTCTTCTACGTCTACCTCCTTCTCGCGCCCTTTCTTTCGCTTGCGCTCTCGGATGCGCGTGCGGCCTCTGTCGCTGTCTCTGTCTCTGTCCGGCGACCCGCTGCTTCCAGAGGATACCGTGCTGCGCAGGAGCGGGCGCGAGGGCGGCGAGGGCCGTGGCGAGAGAGTGTAGCCGTTGCCGAAGCTGGGGTTGGTGCCGAGGCCGGTGCCGTGCGTTGCGTTGCTGGTGCGTTTGCGCGGGAGGTTGGAGGTCTTGAGCGGCGTGAGGGCGAGAGCTGCGGTGCGGCGCGAGGGCGAGGGCGATTGCGGTGGTGCGTGGGAGGGCGAGAGGGGAGGTATGAGGTGGGGTTTTGTGGAGGAGAGGGAGAGGGGGAGGCCCGGTGGGCGGTGGGGGGAGGACATGGTGGTGGTTTGGGGGGTTCTTTGTTGGACAAAGGATGGGGCTTTGTTTGTGGTGAGAATTGGTTGTGGGAGAGGTGGTTGTGAGAAGGTGGTGGTGGAGTGTGGTGTAGTGGAGGGAGAGAGTGGGAGTGTGAGGGTGTGAGGGTGTGAGAGAGAGTGTGTGTGTGGAGGTGTGTGGATGTGTGTAGATGTGTCGATGTTCGGTGGTGAGGTGAAGTTGTTTGGTGGTGCAAGAAGAAGCTTGGGTGCCAAAGCTGTCCAGGCGTCCCTACTTGCTCGCGACTGCGTGGACGAAACTACACTCACTGGCAGTGTATTGCCTAATTGAAACTATAAAGCTACTCAGCACACCTCTCGCACCACAAAGCCATTGCCCCCCCCTCCGCACAAACAAGACAAGAATCGAAGGGGACAAACAATCGCAGTGTTTCTTTGACCCCGAGCTGCTGCACGTCTATTGTCTCCCCAGTGCACACACACCCCTCCCTTGTTCGCTGATGCTTCTTCTTCCGGTCCCTGGTGCTGTGCCTGTTCCTGTTCCGTGGGCCCAGTCGCGCGCGCATCGTCGGGGGTGGGGTGGGATGGGGTGGGGTGGGGCGGGGACGTCGAGGATGGGGAAGAAGCACCGGGAAAGTGAGAGAGAGAGAGGTTTGGGACGACGTGTTTGCGCGAGCTGGGGCTCTGCGGCGCGGTGGTAACCCTGGCCCTGACACTGGGTTGGACAGGGGACGGGGGACGGGGGCTTGGCGCATCTTATCTTATCGCGAGAGGAGGATCAAGGTGCGGTCTCGGCTGGCTGGGGAAGGGAAGCGAGGGATCTTGGTCTCGGCTACCTACTCTATTCGACGGATTCGAAGGGGGGCAAATCTGCATCTGGGGGAGATCGGGGGGCCGCAAGTGAAGGGTCAAGATTGGGCCGGACGGGATGGGTGGTTTGCTATTTCTATTTGGACCTGGGAAGACACACAATTTGCAGACCCTGAGACTGGCCTGGGAATAGATACATGTAGATGCAGAGCACTGGCTACCAAGAGCTATATACTATAAGCTCTACTTGAACTCGTGAGATGAGCTTTCGTGGGCCATGGGGCCCGTGAGCGAGGTTTTGCTGCCAAATTACTTCTTTGGACCTCACGTGTGCAGCTTTGTTTTTGTTTTTGTTTGTTGTTCGGTAGATACATGTAGCTCTGCATGTGCGTGAGTGAAGCTCTGCTATGATATCACCAGAGCTTTTGCTACTGCCAGAGCAGGTACAATTCAGTTGGATGGCAGCTGTCTGTCTCTGACCAAGAACTGTAAGAAAGAGCCTCTGATGTATTGCCCGCGCCCAAACAAATTAGCATACACACTCGATCTCGACATTGAATGCCTCCGGCCCTCGGCCCCGGTGGACGCTGTTCATTGTGCCCGTCAGTGCCGTCCGTCACTAAGAATATCCCTCTCTTCTCTTCTGGAAGCGGCACGGGTGCAACCCAGCCCAGCCCAGCCCAGCCAGTAACATACACACACAGCAGTACCCACCATCCCTGCCCACAATCCCGCCCGGCCCCGTTTACTGACTAAGCGATGAGTACGTTCAGCTCTCTCGTCTGTCAGTCTGCTCCCGGGGAAATACTACTCTGGTTGTAGCCATACATCATCCACCACCACCACCACCACCACCACAGCACGACAAGACAAGACAAGACCCAACCGTCGAATCGAAAACGTACATACTCGGAATACTGAGCTGTTGACTGCTGCTGCTGCTCCTGCTGCTGCGTAGCTCGGTGGTGTGCATCCGTTCGTTAATCAGAGGGGCCGGCAGGAAGCTTGACCTCTCAGTCTGCGTACGTCCTTGGTGCTTAAGTCTCGAGCGAGCGAGGAACTACATCTACACTACACTACACTACACTACACTGCACTACACTGCACTACACTACACTACACTGCACTACACTACACTACACTACACTACACTACACTACACTGCACTGCACTGCACTACACTACACTACACTATACTACATAGCTATACTACATTACATATACATATAGATCGATACCGGAGCCATCGTTAATCGGACCTCTCCATTGTTCCAAAGGATCCAGGGTGCTTGGGGCTCTCCCGCTTCAAACCACACCACGAGCAGCCGGGGAAACCACACTCTACATACACCAAACCTCACCACAGTACACCATCCGGGAACTCCTAACCACCCGTTCTCCTGACTCCCACACCGAGCCCCACAAGCTCACCCACCCACACCCACAATGCTGACCTCCCTCCTCGCCAAAGCCACCTCCCTCCTCACCGAGCCGCCGCCACCGCCGCCCTCCTCCCGCCCCACCAAGACCGTCCTCTTCCGCACACACTTCCGCCTGCCCGACAGCCAGTCCCCGCTGCAGGAGATCACCTGCGAGCTCACCCTCCCCTCGGGCGAGCACTACACCGGCAAGCTCTACCTCTCCGAGTCCTTCCTCTGCTTCTCGCCCAACCCGCCCACCGCCACGTCCGCCGCCGCCGCCACCGCCGGCGTCGGCTTCACGCTGCCGCTGTGCGCCGTGCGCCGCGTCGAGCGCCTGCACAGCCGCAGCTACATGTTTGCGCTCGCCATCACGACGTGGCACGGCGTTGGTGCCGGCGGCGGAGCAAAGGAGGAGCGCATCACGCTGCAGTTCGTTGGCATGCGCAATGCGTGTGAGGCGTTCTGTGATCGGCTGAAGCGCGGGCTGCGCACGCAGATGGCCGAGGTGCGGAATCTGCGGACGCTGGTGGAGAGCTGCTATAGTGAGTTTTTGCTGGGGGAGGGACGGGGGGGCGAGGAGGGCGGGGGCGAGGGCGGGAAGAGGAGGGAGAGGGTGGTGCCGGATGCGGGGTTGGGGCTGCTGTTTAAGTATCCCGGGGATGCGAGGAAGTTGAGGGATAAGAGCAAGATGAGGCTGTGGGCGGAGTATCTTAGAGGTGTGTATTATTGTGGTGGTGCTGGTGGTGTGCCGGGGGGGGGAATTGTGGCTGACTTGACTTGATGGCGGGGTGGCAGAGAATGGTAGGAATGTCACGCTGGTGAGACAGCCGACGTTTCATAAGTTGATACGTGTGGGGCTTCCGAATGTGTGTATATTGCCCCCCCCCCCCTTTCTTTCTGCAGCTTGGAGCGTTCGCTGACGGTCTTTCTTGGCAGCGGCTGCGGGGTGAGATGTGGGAGCTGTCGTCGGGGTCGATCTATCTACGCCTGTTTTCCCCGACACTATATACCGACATCCTCGCCGAGTACGAGGGCCGGCATTCCCACAGCATCGAAGAGATCGAGAAGGACCTGAACCGGTCGCTCCCGGAATACCGCGGCTTCCAGAACGACGAGGGCATCAGCAGACTACGGCGAGTGCTTGGAGCTTACAGCTGGCGGAATGAGGAAGTGGGCTACTGCCAAGCTATGAATATTGTGACGGCAGCGTTATTGATGTATGGTCCCACCCAGTTCAATGATCGTTTTGACAGGAAATTATGGGCGGCTAACACCGGGAACAGATACATGTCGGAGGCACAGGCGTTTTTCCTCCTCTCGACGCTTTGCGACCGCCTGGTGCCGGGATACTACAGTAAGACCATGTACGGCACCCTCCTGGACCAGCGCGTGTTCGAATCGCTGGTCGAGAAGACCATGCCAATCCTGTGGGAGCACCTCGTGAAATCCGACGTGCAGCTATCCGTAGTCTCGCTGCCGTGGTTCCTCTCACTATACATCAACTCCATGCCACTCGTCTTCGCCTTCCGCGTCCTCGACGTCTTCTTCCTCGAGGGCCCCAAAGTCCTCTTCCAGATCGGCCTCGCCATCCTCCGCATCAACGGCGAAGAGCTCCTCGACGCCACCGACGACGGCGCCTTCATCTCCATCCTCAAAGGCTACTTCGGCCGCCTCGACGAGAGCGCCCACCCGCGCAGCGACAACGAGAAGCTCCGCGCCGTCACCCGCTTCCAGGAGCTCATGGTCGTGGCCTTCAAAGAGTTCGCCGGCATCACCCAGAGCACAATCATGGAGCAGCGCGCGCGCCACAAGGACGCCGTCCTCTCGTCCATCGAGTCCTTCGCAAAGCGCACGCAGCTGCGCAACCTCGGCCCCGAGTCGAAGCGCCTCACGCCCCCGGAGCTCAGCGTGGTCTACGACCGCTACTACGGCGTGCTCTATGAGCGCCAGGCGCGCCTGCAGAACATCGCGGAGGAGCTCGAGAAGATTGCCGCGCGGAAGAACTCGTCGCCGGGGCTGCCGGGGGCGGGCGCGGGGAATGGGGAGCGGGGCCGCGTGGGGCTGGGGCCGACGCCGGGGGAGACGGGAATGGATTATGACTGCTTCCGCGAGTTCATGACGGGCATTGCGCCGTGGGCCATAGCAACACCGCATAGTGCCACGCCGCCGTCGGCGCCTGAGCCGCCACAGCAGGCGGGCGGGTTCTTTGGGTACGGGATCACGACGAGCGCGGCGGCGGCGGCGACGGCGGCCGCGCGGAAGAACCTGCTGAACCCCTGGGGGGCCGGGAACCCGGAGCCGGCGGACCACGAGTTCCTGAAGCGGCTGTTCCGGCGGTGGGACACGGGCATGCGCGGGCAGCTGACGCTCGCGAACGTGGTGACGGGGCTGGCCAGCGTTGTGGGCGGCAAGAAGGACATCATGGGCATGATCAACTACTGGTTCGAGCTGTACGACGACGACGGCGACGGCAAGGTTGACCGCGAGGGCATCCTCAGGATCACGGAGGCGCTGCTGTTCGTCACACGCCGCGGCTACGGGCGCGGCGACGAGACGTCCGGCGGCGGCGGCGGCGATGCCGACAGCGACTTCGACGAGGGGCGCGTCCTCAGCGCCGTCAGCGGCTTCACGCGCATGTGCTTCGAGTACGCCGACCCCGACCGACCGCACTCCACGAAGCCCCGCTCGTTCAACGAGAAAGTGGCGGCCGAAGAGGACCTCCTCGACCTCCTCGACCCAGAGGACCCGCTCTCGCCCTGCGACATCGACCGGCCGCCCCCCACACCCAGCGAGAAGGCCAACCTCGCCCTGGACCCCAGCAACCCGCTGCACATCACGCTGCCCACCTTCCGCATGGTCGTGCTCGCCGACGAGGTGCTCGAGCGCTTCTTCGAGCGCGGCTTCGCCGAGACGTTCGCCCTCGTCAGCACGGACGGCACCACCGCGTCAGTCCTGCAGCCGACGCCAGCGGGCCCGAACCAGCGCCCCGGCATCGCGGTGCAGACCACCGCGCTCGGCGGCCGCATGCCGGCGCTGCCGGCGCTGCCAACCTCGCCGGCCATTGTCACGGGCACGGCGAAGGGCCTGCGCGGCGTGCTGGATAATATGGTGAATGATAGCATACACCGCGTCACGACGGAGCTCAAGAAGCGCATGGAGGATATGGATGGGCGTGCGGTGGCCGCGGCGGAGGAGGAGGATGAGGAGGGGGGCGCGGGCGCGGATAGTAAGAGTATTATGGAGACGGATAGGGACTTGTTGAAGGGGGCGGAGGCGGAGACGATTGTGGAGAAGGCGCCCGAGGAGGAGGGGGAGGAGGGGGAGGAGGAGGGGGAGAGGTTGGTGGTGGGGAAGAGGGGGGGGTTGGGGCTGCCGCCGCAGGTGGAGGGCGGGAGGAGGAGTGTTAGTGAGGGGAGGACTGTGGAGTTTGAGAGTTAGGGGAGCGGGGGGGAGTGTGGGCGGTGTATATTTAGTTTTCTTTTAGTGTTTTTCTTTTTTTTTCGTAGTTATATTTTTTTTCTCTCTTTCTTTTATTGGTGGATTTTTCTCTTTTCCTTTTTTTTTTTTCGACTTTCTTGTTCTTTTTCAACAATGACTGGTGTGCTTCTTCTCTGTCCCGTACGTTTGAACTACCATCATCATCATCGATTACTTGCTTACTTGCTTGCGGGTGGTGCTGGTACGTAGTGTAGTAATGTGAATGCGACCGACTCGAATGAGATCTAGCAATCACGATATATGGTATGGTTCGATTGAGGTTGGGGGGAGGGGGGGGGCGGGGTAGGGTACATGTATGTAGGGTAGGTAGGTAGGGTATGGAATTGAAAGCAGAGATCATCTAGAGCTAAGTATTCGGTTTGTCACGTACGTAGTGGAATTTAAGGATGGTCTAGGTGTGGGTTTTGGGATACGGGGTGCTATGATGTGGGTGTTGAAACTTTGGCGGTTGGGGGTGGTTTTGTTATAATTACAGAATGTCAATTGGGGGGAAGGAGTGCTACAACAAAGCATTGGAGCGGTACAATGCGCGGTCTTAATTTGAAGCACATATGTATCTCTGGGTACGTGATATATAGCTCACCCCGATCCGGAGCTAGCTACCAGATGTTCACATAAGCAAGCAAAGCAGCACAGCTCAAAAATCCCGAGACACCACCGAGTGATCCGCGGTGTCCGGGGGCGCTTTCACCCGAAGTAATTGCAACGACAATCAGTAGGTAGAGGCAGGTCCTAGGTCCATCTATTCTCCATCTCCAGCTATCCCTCGTTCTCACAATATACACATCCCCTCCCTCCCTCTCTCCATTACAACCCCACAATCCCCCTCAATCAAATCCCTCCTACTCATCATCAAAGCCCACCGGTATCTTTCTCGGGCGATTCGGAACTACAACACCACCCTCGTTAGCCCTCTCCTCTCTCCCCACCTCCTCCCTCCCTCCCCTCGCCCCACTACCCCCAAGGAAGGAAAAGGGAACCTACTAGGATACGTCTGCGGCACCACCTCCTTATCCGCAATGCCCAACTTGCGCTTCAACGGGATACTCGCAAAGAACACGACGGGGCCCGCGGCGCCAAGCATGACGGACCAGAAGAGGGCGGGGCTGGTGTGCGATGCGTAGCGCATGTAGCGCAGCGGCTGGTTCCAGAAGTAGGGGGTTGTCATGGTTGCGTGTGTGCTGTGTGTTTGGTATCGGGGGTGCGAATTGGTGTGGGATTGGAGGTGTAATTGGGGTTGGTTGGTTGGTTGGTTGGGGGTGGAAGGTGGAAGGGATGGTAGGGTAACTAGGTGGTGCTTGTGAGTGGTGTGGTGGGGTTATCGCGATAAGGGCGAGTGATGGGGTGTGATGGGGTCTAGTGGTGGCTGGCGGGATTATGGTGGGTGTATGTGGTCCACTGGTCCAAAGCTAGATGGCGCCGACTGGGCAGATAAAAGTCCCACATTCCCCATCTACCGACTCTCTTCTCTTACCATCATCAACTCATCTCGTCTTTCTGTCAATTCACCCCACGGTTTATCATCAACCTCAACCGCTGCTCGCGCTCACCCTTTCCATCTACCAACAAACACAACGCCCTAGATACAGGGCCACAAAGCATAAAGGGAAAATGCTAGATCGAGCTTGCCTAAGCTAAGCGTTAACCATCAAAAAAAAAAAAAAAAGATACGAAAAGAGAAAAAAGGAAGATATGATTGGATCTTGGTTTTCTAGATTCTCGTCGGCCTCTCCGGACAACAACGCTCAGTCCGTTTTAAGGGAAAACAAACACTCTGCCATAAGACAGAGGTGGTTACGTTAGTGCAACGCACCACAACTACATGTAGATTGATAAGCTGGTCCTGGGGTCCTGACACGTTACGTACTACTGGATTTTCCTACGTGGAGAATTCCAGTTCTCGCTCCCCTATACAAAAAGCATAGGAGACAGATTCCCAACCGACGGCTCCAGGATGCAAACAGCCCAAGACCTGATACTGACCTCGCCTTCTATACAGACCCAAATAGGTTTTGGGCCACAGAGTTTGTGTGTGTGAGCTTGGCTCCACTCAAGGTCTTCTAAGACGGGCGTTTTCAGGCTATTCGTGATCGTGATCTCGCTACCATAGGCCATGCTCGGATATGAGTATGACGGAGTGATGATGATTGTATTAAGTCGATGCCGAAGCCTAGTTGTATAGAGTCTGAGAAACTAACAGATATGCCTGACCGAGTCCAGCCACGCAACCGCTGAATCGTGGCACAACACCTATACACGAAACCTGTACCACAACGGTAGATACTGCCAGATTTGTCTACGTGGAGAACTTCAGTTCTCGATTATCTCTGCAAAGGCATATGAGACAGATTCCCAACCGACCCAATGCCTGGTACTGATCCCGCTCTGTAGCTTTATCGGCTCAAATAACTTTTGGACCGCTAAGTCTGTGTGAATTCGGCTCCGCGCAAGGTCTTCTGAGGCGGGTGTTTCGATTGCTTGAAAGGCAGCACAGAATAAGCTATTACCTCTATCCTGGGAGCACCTGGAGTAGAACCGTACGGTTACAAATGTCTGGTTCTTTAGCTCGAGCTTACAAATCAATAAGCTCGCCATGTCCGAGCTCACTGTTCTACTATCGGACTATTGAGCAGATACTAAAGCTGCTCTGTTCATAACAGACTGGAAGAAAAATCTTCAAGGACCGGCCATGCCTGCCATAACGCTGGCTGATGCATATCATTCTAAGATATCAGACCTAGTCATGTGGGATGACTCCTGGCGAGTATGTAGCTGCCTGCTGTGGGTGTCCGGGTTTTGGGTACTAGACAACATAACATTCCGGGATTGCGCCAAAAATTGGCCATTCCAACGTCAAGTCGGAGTCGGGCCGGGTCCACGAGATAAGCCGAACCGAGCTTCGGCTCGGGATTTTTGTCTTAAGCCCTTACAAGCCTGGGTCGAATTTAATACCTTGCTCGGATTGAGCCAACTCGTCTTAACATTGAGATTATTAACAAAATTGGCACTGGCTGTCAGCTATGAAACTGACTATCATTCTGTTTTCTCTTACTACAGGTCATAAATAAGGGGCCTCAATGCCCTCCTGGTAGACCCAAAAAGCTCGAGCTTTGACGAGCGAATCGAGCCCAATCCTACATATTACGATCCAGTTCTAGATATACGTAAATCTCAGCTTGAACTGGCTCGCTGAATGCACCAACACCGACCGATCGAGAATTGGTGCCTTTACTACTGGGCTATAATGTTTGAGCTGGAGCTACGCATGCTCGAGGATATATTATAAAAGCAACGCTACCTTCAAAAATAATGGCGCAGAATATTGCGCCTCCACAAAGCATATACATATTACTAGGTGCACAATACTCACCGATATCGTAACCATGCAGGATTATCCTTCTCTACTCCGACCACACACACCCTTGTAAACCTCCACCCCCCGGCCACTAGAAGGTAGCCATCACAAGATCTCACTCGTCCCGAGAAACCACATCTACGTAACGCATATCGTAACCACTCCTGTAATCCACCCCATCCCCCCCACATTGCTACCGCGCCAAACGACCAGAAATCCCCGCCCCGCCCATTTACCTAGTTTCAAAAAGACCCCTCGGCGCCCCATCTCCATACAGCTACAAGGATCCGGCATTACGTTATCTGCTTTATAGTTACAGGCCCACTGCATCACATCCGCTTCAGGCAGGCGAATAAAAGTTTATCTCCATGACACCCCCCACCCCTATATCTACTTTGCGGGATGACCGACTGGAGAGTAAGGGTACCTACTGTAGTGTATGCGCGGTGGATGTCGTGCCAAGGTGGGGGTTCCGTTTGATGTTGACAAATTCAACCGCTGCCGGGTTACCGCTGCGGGAGCATACCCGAGAAGACGAACACGAAGGCTTGGCTTGGTGTTTAAACTTTGAGAGGCTACGTCCATTCACAGGTCTTGGAGATGGGCTGGGCCGGCCGGGCATGGGCATCTTGGCACTTCGGACGAGCCGACCCGCTGTCAATGTTTGATTAGTTTGTGTTTATTTGTTTGATAATCGTTATATACATTTCTGGCCTCGTCGGGGATTAAGAACTAAAATATCTTGTACATACAGAGAAAGAATACAAAGGAAAGGGACAATAATCAGAGGGAGAGGTAGCTTCCCCGACTAAACTGAGTAGACCCACGCCTGCGCCGTCAAAAAACTTACAAAAACCAACGCTGCACTTGGTCTACAGAGACGTCAACACATCCACAAAATCAACTGCGCCTATAAATATACAAAATAAATAAATAGTGAGAGAGAGATAGAGAGAAGCCTACCAACTGCCCACTCTCGCAACATTTCTTCCCTGGGAACTCGTCGAATCGTCCTTCACAGACTCACTTTGTACCACAACTTCAACCGTCTTGTTAACGCTGATGCCCATTCCCTGATGCGGCTCCCCCGCCAGATCATGCATGATATACTCCTCGCTGTCGTTATTATGCGTGGCGGTGATGGTGCATGTCGCACCGGCGCCCGCCGTCCTCCCAAGCCCTCCTAAGTGACTCTTTCTCGTCCCAACCGCCACTCCGCCGGTGCCATCATTCGTATGGTATCTCAACCCGCCGCTACCATAATATGCACTTTTCTTGATACTAGTGCCCAGGATGCCCGGTGCAACCCATGTGAGAAACTGCTTGAAAGCAGGTGTGCACGCACAAATAATAGCGACGTTGAGTTCGACGGCGGACCAGGTACTTGAGACGGAGCCGGTCCAGGAGAGATCTTTGCTCACCATCGCGACGCTGACCATGTGGATGCGGACTATGCTAACGCAGGTGACAAAAATACCCATGGAGAAGACCATTACGAGGCCGAGCTTCTGGCGAAGAGGGAGACGCAGCTTCCAAATCACGGGCATGGGGAGGAATAGGAGGACGAGGTCCGTTATGAGGTTGTTTGCGCCTGAGAAATAGTACAGAGGGGTAGTCTAATTGACAAACCTTCAAGTTAGCCTCTTGCTTCACGATATATTGACCTCCTTGGTTTCTTCATTCTAGCATGCATATGGGATCTTACGTTGATACACTTCCGCCCTGGAGCCGTATAGTCCCATCCGCCTCGTATTGGCGAGCACTGGAATATATTCGAGAAAAAGATACTTGTACTGCTGCAAATAACATATCCCATTGTGACCCAGCACACCTTGCGGAAGGTTTCTTCGCTGCCCAACTTGTTGATATAAAATGCGAGGATAGACGTCTTGGTCATCATGAGAGTTGGGTTGTAAAGGGCTGTGAATGTGTATCCCAGTTTCCCCGACATTGAGCGCCATTCTGGGGGTACATCCCAGGTGTGCCGGCCGTTGCCATATTTAGTCGCTAGATGGGGCTTGTTAGTGTAAGAGTTCGTATTATTTAGTATTGATGTGAATATAACGAAGATGGAGAGAACATACAGAAGATGATGGCCATTGTCATGCAGAATGAGAGAAGCTGTTCAAGTTGTATGTCAGTAACTATCAATGCAACCTATATTTCTTAGAAAAGACATTGTATACCCAAGCCACACATATCAAGATATCGTCACTCCCCAAATTCGTGAGTCTGTACCTCGTAAAAACTCTCAACCCCACAAAAAAACCAGCAGCACATATCATGCCCGTGTTTGTGCCCACAACCATTGCTGCGCGCGAGGGCGGATCAATGTAGTTTGGTGTAGGGGTTGTCGCCATGGCTGGCTAGAGACGAGATGGAAGGCTCAAAGGCCTAGTGAAGAAGGAATTAAGGTTATGGCGGGCGAACAAATGGAAGAACTGAAGACAAGTGGGATAGTTGAGGAATATGTGATCGAATTTCTAGATTGTGGATCTTGGTATCGAATATGTATTAGTACCAACACCGTACCGCTGCCAGCCAGTGCAGGGAATTGAGAAGGAAAGGTGAAGGTACAGAAACAATAGATTCTTCCGCAGAAAAGTAGCAAATGAAGCACACAAGAACCTTCTGATCGATTTGGTCCCCACCTTCTGGATGAATTGTCCGCCTGGGTAGTAATATCCCTACCTATGGCTGTTTTTAGCCTGGTTTTTATCTGTGCCCCTGGTGTTGTACTCTAAAGTATGCATACATAGTAGTAGTGCCCCGATCCTAGGTAGGTAAGATTTGCTATCCTGCTCAACCCTCAGACCTTCACCTTGTAAGTATTTGACATGTATGTAATCCAAGACAGTCACCCTTCTTTTCAATAGGATCAAATTTTGATGATTCTGCTCGTGCACGACCGCGTGTGAATTCCGAAGCATACGGAGATATTCTGGCGTAAACCGATCTACGAAGGAAAAATACCATTGTGGTAAATAATCTTCACGGCTTCATGAGAGATGTCGATTCATCGGTAGATCCATGTAGAGAGACTTGCGCGACCTTCGCTAGAGACAACTTGGTAAGACTCGCTTCGGCAGATGTTTCAGTTGACAATAGCTACGCAGACCACTACCTTCTCAGATTGTATCTCACTTACTTGGTAACCGACCACGCAGGTAGGTAGGCAAAACGGGCATGTCTCTGCTCCTGAGCCAAATGCAGGAAAAACAAATATATGTCTCGCGGCCGCGGGGCCGGGTCATCTGGAGCCGGCCTGGAGCTCACTACATTAATCCACAGATAGTACCTAGTACCTAGTTAGTTAAGTCGACACTTCAATGACCAAAATAACGGTCGTGGGAAATGAATTACACACGTGGATATGTAGAATAGATCATAGTACATATTTTATGAGTGTAAGTACTGCTGTATCTAGGTATCTTCAGTTTCGTGTCTGTTCCTATGGCAAAAAAGCACGTACAGCCGCACCTCGCTATCTCGTAATTCGATATCTCGGATCTCTTTCTGTCTCGTACGGATTTGCGGGACAGGTACTGCCCTTCTCTACCAAAAACTATTTGCTGTCTCGTATATTTGCTATCTCGTAGGGGTTTGGCTCCCAGAATACGCTAACGGCATAACGAGGTGCGACTGTAAATGATTCGATTGCCCCATATTGCGCCAAAGAATCCTGATTTATTCACACCATCCATGATGCAATGTCTCATGTCTCTTACCCCAGCTGTCCGGGAAGATTCCGGGGGTGAAATTCCTCGGGTTATTTTTCTCCTCTGCTGGAACTAGCGGTCCGTGACATTGGCCAGTCTCGTTACATAAATTAGCGAAGAGATGTAACGCCAGGGGACTAAGTCCAGAGAAACCTGATTCATGTCTCATAGGTAACCGATCATTCTCTACAAGTTGTTTCAGTGCTTGAATGCATACATAGGCGAAGTATAGTGCCTAAGTAATCATTGAACTGCGGCACATGTAGGTAGAGCACACCTAGAATACCTATAGCTTCCCAAGAACAGTGCCCTGGGAAAGCTTGTTATGCTGTAGGAAATGCAAGGCGTGCAATTTTGCTGGAATTGCCTTGCGGTAGCCATCTAAAGGACCCAACAAAACACCCGTTTAGGTGTCCGGGGGCAGACAAAAGGGAAGTTAACGGAAGACGTGTGAATTGGAGTGTGGGAGAATAGACGACTTGAGGAGGGTTTGAACACGTGACCTTTGTGAGGAATATGTTTATAGTGCAAAGAAGATACTATTGCGCTGCTGAGTTCCAGCGACAATTATGGGAGTTTGTTGCTCCTTATATACAGATAGTTCTTAGTACCACGTGATCCCCTGATTACATAATCCTAGCGCTAAGCCTCCTTGTTCCAACTATGAGTCATCCCTTATACATGAGTAATTACCATACATAACCGATGTCGCAATGCCATATTTTTTACACTTCCCCTCACTTGCCACATCGTATCAATTCTGACAATTTTTGGTGAGCTGGTTTTGGTAGTCCTTTGGTCATTATGTCCGCGACATTGTCTTCGGTAGGGACGTAGAGGATTTCAAAGGTTCCGGCTTCGAGTTGTTCACGTGTATAGTGGTAGTGAACGTCGATGTGCTTGGACCGGTCGTGGATGCGTGGGTTCCGACAGAGTTCGATAGAACCTGTGTTGTCGGCGTGTATGAAGTACTGGTATTGTTGTTGGAGTTCGAGCAAGGCGTTACGAATCCATACCAGTTGTCGAGCTGCGAGAGACAGGGCCATGTATTCGGCTTCTGTTGTTGAGACTGCGACTGATTTCTGCTTCCGGCTTCTCCAGCTGATAGCTGACTTCCCTAGTCTGAACACGTATCCTGAGAACGATTTTCTGTCATCTAGGTCTGAAGCGTAGGAACTGTCTGAGAATCCGTCGAGTGTTCTAGTATTCCCCTTCGGGTAGAACAGGTTCCAGTCTTTGGTTCCGTTAAGGTATCGGAGAGTTCGCTTGGCTGCTCGTAAGTGGTCCTCGGTTGGACATGAGGAGTACTGGGAGAGAGCAGTAACGGCATGGGTGATATCAGGTCTGGTAGCTATACTCGCGTACATCAGTGATTCTATTATGGATTGGTACTCAGTTGGTTTCTCGATTTGGTCTTCCGGTTCGCCTTTGTGAAGGTTGAGGTTCGGTTCGAGTGGTGTACCAACTGGTTTGCAGTTACTCATTCCAAATTTATCCAAGATCTTGTTGATGTATGCGCGTTGTGATAGTGTGATACCGTTATTGGTTACCGTTATTTCTATTCCCAGTATGAACTTCGAGTTACCGAGATCCGTACATTCGAAATCTGCCTTAAGTAGTTGTCTGATTTCTTTTCTGAATGGGGAGTCGGGTCCGAATATCATGATGTCATCTACATACACCGATATGTATAGATGGTGGTTCTTATGTATGAAGACACATGGGTCGAATTTGGCTGGGACGAATCCTTTCCGTTGAAGGGAGTCTGCTAGGCAAGCATACCATTCACGGGGTGATTGCTTTAGTCCGTATATGCATTTTCGAAGTTTACAAACCTTGTTGTCCTGCCTGTAGCCTTCAGGCAGTTCCATGTAGATTTCCTCCTTGAGTACACCATACAGGAAGGCTGACTTCACGTCCATTTGTTGTGGTATCCAACCGTTGTGTGCAGCTAGTGCCAGTAGGAGCCGTAGAGAATCATATCGTGCAACGGGGGCGAAGGTCTCATCGTAGTCTTGGTACTGTACTTGGGTGAAGCCTTTAGCAACGTACCTTGCTTTGTACCGCTCGATTGTTCCGTCCGCGTTGTGTTTCACTTTGAATACCCATTTTCCTTTGACTACTGCTCGGTTGGATGGTCTGTTGACAATATCCCAGGTATGGGCTTTGTCAAGGGCGTCTTTCTCAGTCTGTATCGCCTTTTTCCATAGGTGTTGATCGTCGCTCTGCATAGCTTGATTGAAGGTGGAAGGTTCTGTTACGAGGTGTATATGGTAGTTCGGGGGGAGTTTGGATACGTCTTGATATTCCGTGTCTAACTCAGCCCTATAACGTCTGAAGTCTTCTTTGTATTGATCGATTAATTCTTGTTCAGTGGCTTTGTTTCCTGGGCCATTTTCTTTCACATCTTCGATATAACTTGTAAGTAACTTCTGTTGTTCTACTACCTTCTCGTCATACTCCTTCCTTCGTACTTCTATTTCAATTTCTCTATTTTTTCGCTGGCGTATTCGATCTGATCGTTTTGGAGGTTGTGGTGGTGTACCTTTGGGTGTCGTTGACACAAGTGGTTTTCTGTAACGGCAGCTACGTATTTCGGCTAGGTGATGAACTGGGATGAGGGAAGGAGGTATCGTGCAGTGGAATTAGGATTTGTAATGGGGATTTCTGTTATGTTCTTTGGGTTTCTGTTACGCGAAGGTATTAGTCATCGTTGGATTATGGCTGGATATATAAGGGGGCGTTGTCTTGTGCTTTTGTCTGTTCTCCTTCTTCTCTTTCTTCCTTACGCAACCTCTGTATTTTATTCCACGAATACTATTCTTTGTCCGTACTACGTCATAGGGCTCCAACCGGTTTATCATACCAGGTAGAGCCGCCCCATAGTCCATAGTCAAAGTATACCTTTACGTCTACGTTCACGTCTACGTCACTACCTAGGTTGTATTCCTTGGCACCATAGTCTATCGCCTACAGTCCCCGTGATACGTAGGTTGCGTCCTCTATCGCCAACCAATACAACACCATAGCCTACAATGTCGGAACATGTCCATGTCGATCATCAACAACTCAACGATAACCTCCAAAGATTTTTTGAAGCGCATCCACAGGTCGATCATGTTGTCGGAGCTGAAGCTTATGCGCTTCTTCAACAGTGTCAAAACGGTCTCACTCAATATGCAATGGATTTACAAGAGGTAGAAGCGGAGGCTGAGAGGGCAAGAAGAATGTTTGAACGAGATCTTACTGCTGCCCGAGCTCAACAAACTGCTGTTCAGGTTGTGGCCCCTGACGAAGAACCTATTGGAAACAATGCTCCACCTGTACCCCCAGTACCACCAGTTACCGGTACCACCTATCGGTCGGAGAAACTCCCAGACCCCGATGTGTTCAGGGGAGATCGTGACCGGGAAAGGCTACACTTATTTAAGCAACAAATGAAACTTAAGCTATTAGGAAATGCCGATCGCTATCCTACACTACAGTCTAAGTTATCGTACGCGTTCAGCAGATTGGAAGGTGCTGCTGCCAATCAGTTTTTACAGTACATGGGAGAAGAAGGTATTGCCTTACCTTCTATGACACGGTTTTATGAGATTCTGGATACAGCTTTTGGGGACCCCGATCGAATGCGTACAGCTAGAAGAAATCTTCGGAACATCAGACAACGCACTCGAACTTTTGCCGATTATTTTGCTGAGTTCCAACGGTATGCTGCTGAGTCGGGTATGGATGAAGTCTCTCGGATTGAGGCTTTGATGGAAGGAATTAATGGGGAACTGGACGAATCGATGATACACCATGAGACTCCTGCAACGGTAGATGGTTGTGCAACACTCTTGCAACGATTGGATAACCGACGACGGGCGGCGGAAGCTAAGCGAGGTAGTAAAAAACCTTGGACTACTACTGCGACCCCGGCTCCGCGTCCTCCACCAACAAATCCTGTTCCTGCTCCCCGTCCTGCTGCCCCTGCTGCCAACCCACCTGCCACTGAGAATCACCCCTCGTTCCGTCCTGGAGGTGATGTACCCATGGATCTGTCTGGAGGACGTCGTCGCCCTACCCCTGCCGAAAGAAACGCCCGGTTAGCTGAGGGCCGATGTTTCTATTGCGGAGGTGTCGGGCATATGGTTAGAAATTGCCCCCAAGCGAGGGCAACTGGAAATCAACCAAGGAGGCCTGTGATGAGAGGAGCGGCGTTGACAGTGGAAGAAAATGATGGAAGCGATAATGAGTCGGCAAAAGATTTGTCCCTGCACTAAGTGGCTTAGCCCAGGGACCGTTTAAGGATTTTTCCAGGATGCGTATTTCTGGTTTTTCGGTATCAGAGGAGGAAATGGATGGAAATCAACTTGTAGTAACTTGTTCGATTTCACAGAATAAAAATTCGTTTATACCTACCTACGCTCTCGTTGATACCGGAGCATCAGGATATGCTTTCATTGATGAATCCTTTGCACGCCACAACAATCTTACAATGACCCCCCTTAAAATACCTCGCCATGTAGACGTTATAGACGGAAGGCCTATTAAGTCAGGAAAAATTACCCATATTGTCGATGTCTCGCTAGACATTCATGGTCATCGGGAGACGGCGCCATGTTTTGTAACGAAGTTAGGACATTATCCGATTGTGATGGGGATACCTTGGATGCGACGACACGATGTTACGATTCGACCAAAAGAAAATCTACTTGTTTTTGACTCTCGAAGCTGTTGTCAACACTGTTCACTCAGTGGAACTGCAGTTATTGTTCATGGTATCTCGATCCCCCTACCGGAACACCATACAGTCATCGTTTCAGCAACCGAGAAATCCACTATCGATATCGAACAATTAGTACCGAAAGAATTTCACCATCGTCTTCATATGTTCAAAGAATATGATGCTTCAATTCTCCCACCACATCGACCATCTCATGACATCGAGATAATATTAGAGGAAGGCAAACGACCACCATATGGACCTATATATGGATTATCTCAAATTGAGTTAAAAGCACTACGAGAATATCTTGATGAAAATTTACCCAAAGGATTTATTCGAGCCAGTGAATCACCAGCGGGAGCACCCATACTGTTTGTGAAGAAAAGCGATGGAACCCTTCGACTTTGTGTTGACTATCGAGGCCTAAATGCGATTACAATTAAAAATCGATATCCATTACCATTGTTGAAAGAAACTCTGGCTAAGTTGTCAAGAGCACAATACTATACTAAGTTGGATTTACGATGGGGATATAATCAAATCAGGATAGCGGAGGGAGATGAATGGAAAACAGCATTCCGAACTCGATATGGACATTTCGAATATACAGTAATGCCGTTTGGATTAGCTAATGCCCCTGCCACATTTCAGCATTGGATCAATGATATTCTACGTCCCTACCTTGATCAATTCGTAACAGCATACTTAGACGATATCCTTATCTATTCCGAGACCCTATCAGAACATAAAGAACATATTCAGAAGGTTCTAAAGGTACTTGATGAAAATCATGTTCACCTTAAACCTGAAAAATGTGAATTTATGGTTCAGGAAACAAAATATCTTGGTTTAATCCTTGCTCCGAATGGGAATAGAATGGATCCAAAGAAAGTTATCGATGTTTTGGAATGGACTACACCGACAAACCTTCGTGATGTTCAAGTATTCCTAGGATTTGCAAATTTCTACCGACGGTTTATTTTGGGATATTCGAAAATTGTTGCCCCGCTTACAACCTTGACAAAGAAAAACGTTAAATTTGAATGGACGGATGAAAGGGAGGAAGCATTTCAGACTTTGAAAAAGATGTTTACAACGGCACCGATACTAGCTCATTTCAATCCAGATCGAAAAATTGTCATAGAGACTGATGCATCCGACTATGTTTCAGCAGGAATCCTATCTCAACGTGACAACGAAGGAATCCTACATCCAGTTGCTTTCTTTTCCAAGAAACACTCTCCCGCAGAATGCAACTACGAAATCTATGATAAAGAACTTTTAGCAATTATACGATGTTTTGAAGAATGGCGACATCATCTGGAGGGAGCTCAATTTCCAATTGAAGTTCTTAGCGACCATCGGAATCTTGAGTATTTTATGACAACAAAATTGTTAAATCGTCGACAAGCCCGTTGGTCCGAATTTCTTTCACGCTTCGATTTCGTTATACAATTTCGGCCAGGAAAACAAGGAACAAAACCAGATGCATTGACTAGGAGGTCAGGTGACCTACCTAAAGAGGGGGATGAACGGTTAACGCATCAGAGTCAAGTGATTCTGAAGCGAAAAAATTTGGATACCAAGCTAAGTTTGTTCGCGGGTTCTTTGTCAAATGAATCCGCTGAAGGAGCGTCCACTGTAGAGAAGTTATTTTCAAAAGCTTACCAAGTGGATAGTTTCCCAAACAAGGTCCTCAATATGCTTCGGAATGGCATACGCCACTCAAACAAAATCTCACTTGCCGAATGTATAGAAGATAACAACGGTCGGCTGCTTTATCGAGGCATGCTATATGTACCAGACGACGATGACCTTCGACTAAGGCTTTTAAAAGAATATCATGATAAACCATCTGCAGGACATCCGGGTAGAGCGAAGACTTTGGAGCTCCTAAGTCGAGAATATTACTGGCCACAGATGCGGAAGTTTGTCGATCAGTATATTAGGAATTGCAATGTGTGCACCCGTAGCAAGGCATCACACAATGCACCTTATGGAGTACTTCGCCCTATGCCAATTCCCGATGGACCCTGGACAGATGTCTCGATGGACTTTGTGACTGATCTTCCTGAGAGTGATGGGTATAATGCGATTTTGGTCGTGGTAGATAGACTAACCAAAATGCGACATCTGATACCAACAACAAAGGAGGCGGACTCACAGGAAGTAGCAAGGCTATATATTGATAACGTCTGGAAGCTACATGGATTACCTGACACTATGGTATCCGATCGAGGAACACAGTTCGTCGCGGAATTCTGGAGGTCCCTTTGTGATCGATTGAAAATCTCGCCAAAGTTTTCTACTGCATTCCACCCCCAAACAGATGGACAGACAGAAAGAATTAATGCCATAATGGAACAATACCTCCGAAGCTACGTTTCCTATCAACAAGATGACTGGGTCCGATGGCTACCGATGGCTGAATTTGCAACCAACAACCACGTTTCCGAAACAACAAAAGTTTCCCCCTTTTATGCTAATTCGGGAAGGAATCCTAGGATAACATTTGGGCCTTTGGAACATGGTCGAACGACGGCGGAGGATCAAGCGAATCGTATTGCAAGGGAAATGAAGGATGTGGTGGATTTCCTAAGAGAAGAAATGTTCCGGGCGCAAAGGATACAAGAAGAATCAGCCAATAGGAATCGAACTCCAGCTCCTCGATATTATTTAGGAGATAAGGTTTTTCTATCGACCCGTCATATTCTAACAAAGCGACCCTCTAAGAAATTCGACTGGAAACGTATTGGACCTTATAGCGTTAAACGAATCGTTAATCCCTATGCTTACGAATTGGAACTTCCCCGGTCGATGAAAATTCATCCAGTATTTCACGTTTCGTTATTGTCACCTGAAGCGAATGATCCTTTACCAGGACAACAACGATTACCACCACCTCCGGTTGAAATCGAAGGGGAGGAAGAATGGGAAGTCGAAGATATTTTGGATTCGAGGAAACGAAGAGGAAGATTTGAATATTTGGTACGATATATGGGATATGACGAAGCCTCCTGGCAACCGCTATCGAACCTTGAACATTCACCTGAAATTATTAGTCGATTCCATGAGCGTTATCCAGAGAAGCCTAAGCCTACCAGGAGGTAGGCCTTAGAGGGGGGGCGTGGTCTGTAACGGCAGCTACGTATTTCGGCTAGGTGATGAACTGGGATGAGGGAAGGAGGTATCGTGCAGTGGAATTAGGATTTGTAATGGGGATTTCTGTTATGTTCTTTGGGTTTCTGTTACGCGAAGGTATTAGTCATCGTTGGATTATGGCTGGATATATAAGGGGGCGTTGTCTTGTGCTTTTGTCTGTTCTCCTTCTTCTCTTTCTTCCTTACGCAACCTCTGTATTTTATTCCACGAATACTATTCTTTGTCCGTACTACGTCATAGGGCTCCAACCGGTTTATCATACCAGGTAGAGCCGCCCCATAGTCCATAGTCAAAGTATACCTTTACGTCTACGTTCACGTCTACGTCACTACCTAGGTTGTATTCCTTGGCACCATAGTCTATCGCCTACAGTCCCCGTGATATTTTCCTTTGAAACCTTTGAATGGTACGACTGGTGCTGGAATTTTCTCCCAGTTGTCTCTTGGGTCTCGCGATTGTCCCATAGGTACGGCAGGTTGTTTTCCCTTGTCTGGTGTAGCCGGTGGTGGTTTTCTAACCAGTTCCGGTGATTCCGGGAACAATCCTGGCATTTCTGTACGGTTCTCTTCGATTGCATTTGACTCGGGTTCTGGATCAGACCTGTCTTCTGATTCGTATCCGTCGTCTGATGGTGCATTTGCCGTTTCTGGTTTCAGGCTGGGGATGAAGTCGAGTTCCACTGAGACTTCCCCTGATTCAGGAGGGGGGAATGTGACGTCCCGACTTTCAATTACCCTATGTTGTGTTCCTATCCAGATACGGTATATTTTATTACTGTCTGAGTATCCAACTATGATTCCTTCATACGCTCGGGGTGCTAGTTTGCTTCCTGCTGGCCTAGAGTTTTCTGGGATGTGGACATAGCATTTTTTGCCGAATGGTTGAAGGTGTTGTATACTTGGCTTGGTTCCTTTCAGGGCTTCAAAGGGGGTTTTTCCCTTAAGCGTACTGTGAGGTAGCCTGTTTTTGAGGTAGACAGCTGTTGCATATGCTTCCCCCCATAACGACTTAGGGTGGTCCATGATCATGCACCTGACCATTGTGGTTACCGTCCTGTTGAATCGTTCTGCAACTCCATTAGATTCAGGAGTGTATGGGGGAGTCTGTTCGTGAACTATTCCTTGTGAATCGAAGTAGTTCGTTATGTCCTTGTTGATGTATTCACCACCACCATCCGTTCTGAATCTCAGTATTGTTGTGCTATACTGTTTCTCGATCCTTGTAACGTAATCCTTGATGGCCTTTTTTGCGTCTTCTTTCTGTTTCAGGAGGTATATCCATGCGAAGCGGGTGAAATCATCGATGAAGGACATATAGTACTGAGATTTTCCTTGTGACTGTATACTGAACTTTCCAGATAGATCGGAGTGGATTAGTTCGAATGGTCGTTTGGATCTAGTACTAATTGGTGCAGGTTTCTTATGTACGCTTTTTGATAGTGCACATTGACTGCAGTGGAAACTTTCTGGTTTGGGAGGCAGCCTTTGAATGTCGTGATACAAGTTTTCTAGTGTCGCAGGGTGGCCTAACGCTTGATGCCATTCATCGTAAGAGGTCAAACGAACTGTATTGCTAACTACTTGTACATTCCAAAGTCCCTTCTCCAATTTTGCCCAAATTATTCCTTTCTTTTCTTTTGTAACCAACTTGCTTCCTCCTCCTGACTCCGTTCTAAATCCCTTTTTGTCGAGCACGGTTTCGGAGACCAATCCCACATTTCCCAAGGTTGGGACCAACAGCACATCGGTGAGGATAATGGAAGATCTACTTCCATCGGGAAGGTGGCAGCTGAAACTAGCGCTTCCCATTCCGGTGACAGCGTGGTTGGTTCCATCAGCTGTTCGGACATTGCCGGTGTGAGGTCGGATGTTGATGAGTTGGTCTTGGAAGGGTGTGACGTGAGAGGTCGCTCCAGAATCAAGGATCCAAGTAAGGGGTTGGGAGATGTCGTGGCGTACCATACAGATAGTGGTTGTAGAGTCATTTACTACAACCGATGCCGAGTTGTCCTTTCTCCTTCCCTTTCTGTTCTTGTTCTGTTCTTTGAGCTTTCTGCACTCCGTGTACTCGTGGCCTTTGTAAGGCTGTCCCCTTTTCTTGCACCAGGTGCATTCCTTGTCGCTTGTGGTACTCCTGGTATGGAGTACCTTGTTCCCTGTTTGAGGGGCTACCTCATCCAGGTTCTGTAGTCGTTGGCGTACGTCTTCGTAGGTAACATCCTGTTTGGTTTGGATGTTGTCGACGACGTTGCTCATCGATTTGGGTAGGGAACTTAGGAGGAATGCCGCCATGGCTTCGTTAGATTTGGTGAGGGGTAGGAGAGCCTGAGCGAGTTTGTGGTCTGCGCTTTGGCATCTGGACTTGAGAGTATTCCAGTTCGCATCGAAGGTCGCGAGATGCTCGGTCAGTGATCCGCCTTCTTGCATCTTCGTGTCTAGGACGCGGCTGAGGAGGGTGATCGTGGTGTTGGGTGAGACACGATCGTAGAGGTCTTTGAGCGCCTTCCATGCGTAGAATGCATTTTCGGCGGAGACGACTGTTGGTTGTATTTCTTCGCATACAGCAGAGATGAGAAGGCTGTGCATTTGTTTACGAGTGTAACGGAGCCATTTCAACTGTCTGGTGTATGAGTACACACAGGGCCCGGTTACATGCTGAGAGCTATTGTTAGAAGCCAGTTGCACGGTGATATGCAAGTACCGGCAGTGTGGTTAGCTACCAGCTGTTAGAGTAACTACATTCCGGGCGCTAGGAAGAGGATCTATTCATGGGAGCAATGACTGACGAGTCTATGCCTCGCCAGTGACTAGAAGACCGGCCAGAGTGAAGCTCTGATTGACCGGTGATCCTCTGTATCCTCGGTGCATTATAAGTCCGCCGAAGGGCAGGGACTATGCTAGGGAAGTCTACAATAAGCGAAAGCTCTACAGCAATGATTAAGCTTACACCTGAGCGGCAGCTCATTCATGCAGGTCCTCAGTTGTGTGGCAACCAAGGCTGCAGGTGTTACAAAGGCTTTGACTAAGGGTGGTTGCCTTGGGTATCGGAAACACCTGCTGACGCTTAGAGAAAAGCGGGGTAGCGGTGGTATTGTTTCCGGTACTGAGGGAAGGCCCACCGGAACTTAGTAAAGGAGTTAGGAGCAGAGAACAGAGGCCTTCGGAGTATAAGTACTCAGGTTCATTCCCGCCCTTCAGTCCTATTCTCTCCAGTCTTCATCAGAAAGAAAAACCAAGTTCTCATCGGTAGCAGAGCCCTTAAAGATTATTGAGTTCTAGCGATAGTATCTTTGAATAATCTGCAACCTGATTGTCTATCTTGCACGGCCGTCTTTATTCTATACAAATCTATTTCTCTTAGAAAGGACCCCCGTTACAGATAATCTTTAAGGCTCAAGTCACCTTCAGATTATTCTTCCTCTATACAAAATGTCCGCCCTCTCGGCTCCAGATGCACCCCTTCAGATTGAATGGCAGCCGGTGCCCCTCCAGCTTGATGCCACCGGGCAGACACAGCTTGTTAAGAAACCCAGGACCGCTCTACAGGCCTATATTCCCGGCTGTGAGCCTGCCTGGCAGGATACCGATGAGGTTCCCTTACAACAGTTCTTCACAGAGCTTCAGACCTACCTCCAGCATAGCTTGCAGAGTCAGTTGAACCGAGGCAGTCAGGCACTGCTCATTGTACAAGAGCGCCAGGCAGCACAGAATGCTCTGATGGCAGAAGCTCTAGAGTACATGAGGTCGGAAGTCAACTCTGTTCAGGAAGAGCTCCGGAAGTATGCAGAAAGAGATGAACTAAATGCCGATGTTGATGCCATGGAGATTGAGTGGACAAATCCGGCCACTCCACCAGACTTTGTTGCCGAGATACAGAGAGCTCTTGATGAAGGAAGGTTGGTGGTGGGTAGACCAGCAACTCCGGCACCACTTTCAGTCTCCAGGTCCTCTTCCAGAGCAGCTACCAGAACAATGCAGCGGAAGACCAGCCCCTTTGCAGCATTTCCGGTCCGATCCACTAGGAGAGTTATCCCTATTGTACAGCCAGCGGTGGGGGCTTCACCCTTACCACCTAGCCGCTTCGGTGGAACACATCCACTCCTTGGAGGAGCCGACCGATCCTTTGACTATGAAGGAGAGTTCTTCTCAGGTGCAGGCCGAGGACCTCCTAGTCCGCTAGCCAGGAACCCAGGAAGGTTTACCATGTCTGGGGCTGCTCAACCAGCAGCAACCTCACCACTGGCTAGCAACCCGGCACCAGTAGCACCTGTGGCCCCTCCTGCTGCGGCCGCTGCTCCCCCTCCACCTCAGGCACAAGGAGGAAGTGGCGGAAATCAGAACCCTCCACCTCCAGCAGCCCGTGCTCCCATCCCAGGAGATTCGGATAATTCTGACAGCTCAGACTCGGAACCAGAAGGTAATAACAGAAGAGGTTGGCGGAGATACCTTAAGAAGAAGTTGGAGAAGCAACAGAAGAATCTGTTGGCAATGATGTCCCAGCAGTATCAACCTCCGACCACCTCCCACCCTTCTACTTCCACCAGAGCTCGAGAACCAAAGGCACCACCACCATCAAAGTTCCAAGGCAAGGCGGAGCAAGTGGAAACCTTCATCCGGCAATGTGAGAATGTGTTCTCCATTGAGAGCCTGTCATTTACCTCTGAGGAGGTTAAGATCCGATATGCAGGCAACTTGATGGAAGGGGAGGCAGCGATCCGATGGTATGAGGCATACCACAATTCAATTGATCAAGCCTCCGCCAACCGCCTTGCTGGAATACCGGTGCAGTTGGATCAGAGATGGAAGCGCTGGGATTCCTTTGTGGATGCTTTTAGAGCTGCCTTCGGTGAAGCCATCTCTAGAGATGATGCTGTAGCCCAATGGAATACCCTCACCCACACAGCTCGAGGAGGAATAGACCTCTTCCTGAATACTATTATTCAGCTGATGTGGAAGACTGGCTATGAGGGTCAGTTGGTGGATGATAAGATCCATAACTCCCTCCTTCCGGACCTAGGCATGAGTTGGGCTCTTTTCAACCCCAAGCCAAAGTCCTTGATGGAGCGGATAGCTGCTCTAAGAGAGTTAGGGCATACCCATGAGAGGTACCAAGGGATGGCAGCTGAGAAAGCGCACCCTCGGACCAAGAAAGATCCTCCCACTCAGAAGGACCAGCAGCCTAAGAGGAAAAGAGAAGCTGCGAGCTCCTCCGGACCTCAGAAGACTCCAGGACCTAAAGACAAAGCGGTGGAACTGAAGGGTATCCCGGGGGATATTCTAGAAGAAAGAAGGAAAGCAGAAGTATGCTTGAAGGTATGACCTTCCGGTACTCCCTATTGGTAGAGTGCATAGACTGACTTGTGCAATAGTGCGGCAAGTCCAGACACAAATGGACCGATTGTTGGTCCAAGGAACCTACTGTTGTCCGAGTGGCAGCAGTGAGAGTACAAAAACGGAAAAGAGGGAATGGCAAATCCAACTCTCAGAAGAAGGCTAAAGTGGCTGCTGTAGTAGCAGAAGATCCACTTGTTGTACTCCCGGAGGTTACAGAAGATTTTGTTTTTCAGCCTGAGCAAGACTCGGACAATGAAATCATCTGGTAGAAAAAGTGTCTGTTTTAGTCTATGTTTACTAGTTTTCTTTTATATGGGTTTTTGGTTTCTATGTTTCTCTTGAATAAATTATGATTGTGTTTCCGCCTATTTGATTGCTCCAAGCACTCTGAGGATGGGTTTAAGACCCGAAACAGCTGGTCTGTCAGTGCTCTACCAAAGTTACATTTTGCTACCAAGACACTTCCAAACCACTGCTAAAAAGACTACTACACAATATATCTGCTATATTACCGCTTGGGAATAGAACCAAAGGATCTCTGATCTTAGTAGTGCCCGAAGCTATTAGCTATGTTGAAAAGACAAAGAGAAACAAGTTCAGAACCCGCTGTTAAGCAAAGAAGGTTGGAACAGAGGCTTCCCTCCTTACCAGTACATGGAAAAAGACCTATACTAAAGGCAGGACTGTCATGGACGGTCAAAGGAAAGGATGAAGGCGCCCAAGGGTCTTTTCTGTTTGACACCGGTTGTACAGGAGCTATCCTCAACCAGAGTTTTGTCAGGAAACATGGAATTCCCTTAGTGCGGCGGGATCAACCTCTGACAATGTTTGATGCTCAAGGAGATGTCATGATGGGAGGAGGCGAGTATTACACTCACCCGGTCCGCATGACTATGGGAGATCATAAAGAGACACTCCGATGGGAGGTGGCTACACTGGAAGAAGGAATGACCGGTTACCTGCCAATTAGTTGGGCTAGGAAGCATAACCCGGACATCAACTGGGAACTCAACACCATGAGCTGGAGGAGTGACTACTGCAAGCAGAATTGTCTCCCAGCGGCCACCAAGATTGAACTGATCTCTCCATACCAAATGTTGGAAGAAGAAGAGACAGTCTATCAATTGGTTGGTTCAGTATGGCATGATGAGGACGGAGGTGATATTGCCGAGAAAATACACCACCTATACCGGGATTGGGCTGATGTGTTCAGTCAAGAGAAGATTGAGGAAATGCCGCCGCATTCCCATAATGATCTGAAGATCAAACTCTTGCCTGGGACCGCTCCCCCATTTGGCCCGCTATACCCATGCTCCGCTCCAGAGTTGAAGGCCCTCCGAGAGTACCTGGACAAAGAGTTGTCTTCAGGAAAGATCTCTAGATCGAATAGCCCTGCTGCGGCACCCATACTGTTCATTCCTAAGAAGGACGGGACTTTGCGGATTTGTGTGGATTATAGAGGTTTGAACAAGGTCACTGTCAAGGACAAGTACCCGCTGCCTATCATGAGTGAGCTCAGAGACAGGTTGTTCAAGGCCAAGATCTTCACAAAGATAGACCTGAAGAATGGCTTCAATTTGATCAGGATAGCCGAAGGTGATGAGTGGAAAACCGCTTTCAGAACCCGCTATGGACTGTATCAGTACAATGTGATGCCATTTGGCCTATGCAATGCTCCCTCCGCTTTCCAGGCAATGATCAATGATGTGCTAAAGGAACTACTGGATGAAGGAGTAGTTGTCTATATCGATGACATCCTCATCTACTCGGAGACTGAGAAAGAGCATGAGCTATTGGTCAAGAAGGTACTACAGAAGCTTAGGGAAGCTAAGCTCTGTGCCTCGATCAATAAGACATCCTTCCATGTCCGAGAAGTAGAATACCTAGGCTATCATATCTCGGAACAAGGAGTATCTATGTCAGAAGACAAGGTGGAGGCAGTTAAGGAATGGCCGGTCCCTGAGAATATCAAGGCAGTACAGGCATTCCTCGGATTTGCAAACTTCTATCGCCGCTTTATTGAAGGCTTCAGTAAGGTTTGCAAACCACTAACTGACCTCCTGCAAAAAGACAAGAAATGGTATTGGACAGCAGCACATGAGCAGGCCTTTGAAGAACTCAAGAGGCTGTTTATAAGCGCTCCAATCCTCCTTCATTTTGACCCTAGTAGGAGAACGGTGGTCGAGACAGATGCCAGTGATTTTGCCAAGGGAGCGGTGCTCTCTCAGTATGGGGATGATGGGAAGCTACATCCGGTGGCATTCTATTCTAAGAAGTTCTCCCCTGCTGAGATCAACTATGACATTCATGATAAGGAAATGGGAGCTATTGTAGCCTCTTTCCGGGAATGGGAACACATGCTCAAATCTTGTGAGCAAGAGATCACGGTTTTTACAGACCACAAGAACTTGGAGTACTTTAATTCTACCAAGGTTCTCACTAGGCGGCAAGCTAGATGGTCTGAGGACCTCGCAGGCTACAATTTTAAAGTTGTCTACAGACCGGGAGAAAAGAATGGCAAGACTGATGTGCTATCTAGGCGCTGGGATCACCGCCTTGGAGAGGGAGGTGAAACTCTGCAGCCGGAGCCACAGATCTTTTTTAGGCCAGGTCAATTGGTTTTGGATCCTGCAAAGCTAGGGGCTGTCAGGGTGAATCAATTGCAGAATACATTCTTAGAGCGCCTATACACGGCTGCTAAAGAGGATAGTTTCTGGCAGGAATTGCACCGCTCCCTGGTTGAAAGGAAACCAAATTTGGACCAGAACTTGTCGGTCAAGAACGGTCTCATCTTCTACAAGAATAGATGGTACATACCCAAGGACAAGAAGCTTCAGATGGAAATACTGTCCGATACCCATGACTCTAAGGTGGCTGGTCATTTTGGCCAATTTAAGACACTAGAGCGGGTGAAAAATAACTTCTTTTGGCCCAACATGGATAAGGATGTTGAGGAATATGTCCGGAGCTGTGACAGCTGCCAGAGGAATAAGACCTCAAGACACAAGAAGTTTGGTATGCTCCAACCGTTGGAGATACCCTATCGGCCATGGACTTCCATCTCTATGGACTTCATTGTGGGACTACCGGAATCTAGTGGGTTTACAAAGATCTGGGTAATAGTGGACCGCTTTTCGAAGATGGCACACTACATCCCTCTTCCTACCCTCAATAAAACGGAAGATTTGGCTAAATTGTTCTTGAAGGAAGTTTGGAGACTCCATGGTTTGCCTGATGACATAGTCTCGGACAGAGATAGCAGGTTCATTTCTCACTTTTGGCAATCTCTCATGAGCCTCCTCAATGTGAAGCTGAAGATGTCCACATCTTTCCACCCCCAGACGGACGGTCAAACAGAAAGAGTTAATCAGACCCTGGAACATTACTTGCGGAGTTATTGTTCATATCAACAGGATGACTGGGCAGAACTCTTGCCTTTGGCAGAGTATGCTTATAACTCGGCGGTCTCTGAGTCTACCAAAGTATCGGCTTTTTATGCCAACTATGGATATGAACCCAGGACCAACTGGCCGGCCCCAAAGGAAGGAGTAGAATGGAACAATCCAGCAAGTGAGGTCATGATTTCTCAATGGGAATCTATCTGGCAGGCTATGAACGCCAGCTTGGGTAAAGCTAGATTAAGGATGGCCCGGTGGTATGATGCTCATGCCCTGGCACCACCTGAAATCAAGCCCGGAGATGAAGTTATGTTGGACCGGCGCAATGTGCAAACAAAGCGGCCTTTGGGAAAATTGGATCAGAAGAAGATGGGACCCTTTAAGGTCTTAGAAGCTATTGGTACCCGTGCCTACAAGCTCTCTCTTCCCCCCCAGATGGGAATCCACCCGGTCTTTCACGTCTCTCTCCTAGAACCCTACAGAGCACCGGTAGATCCTGAGAGAAGAGTTCCCCCACCGGAACCCGAAGAGGTTGAGGGAGAACAGAACTGGGTTGTCCGAGAGGTAGCTGATAGCCGGGTCAATAAGAAGAGAAGACGAGTGGAATATCTAGTGCTGTGGGAAGGTTATGAGAACGAGGATGCTACATGGGAACCTTGGGAGCATCTCAAGAAGAGTGCTGAAGAAGCCCTTCGGGATTTCCATATGAGGTATCCTAAGAAACCCAAGGACAAGCGGATTGTTGGGGTGTAGATTATTTCCTTTGGGTTTTCATTTCCTTGCATATCACGGAGTTTCTTGTCATATAGAATGGTAATAGAATGGTTATAGATCTCGGAGACCAAGATCCTGGAAGAGGGGAGTGGTGTAACGGAGCCATTTCAACTGTCTGGTGTATGAGTACACACAGGGCCCGGTTACATGCTGAGAGCTATTGTTAGAAGCCAGTTGCACGGTGATATGCAAGTACCGGCAGTGTGGTTAGCTACCAGCTGTTAGAGTAACTACATTCCGGGCGCTAGGAAGAGGATCTATTCATGGGAGCAATGACTGACGAGTCTATGCCTCGCCAGTGACTAGAAGACCGGCCAGAGTGAAGCTCTGATTGACCGGTGATCCTCTGTATCCTCGGTGCATTATAAGTCCGCCGAAGGGCAGGGACTATGCTAGGGAAGTCTACAATAAGCGAAAGCTCTACAGCAATGATTAAGCTTACACCTGAGCGGCAGCTCATTCATGCAGGTCCTCAGTTGTGTGGCAACCAAGGCTGCAGGTGTTACAAAGGCTTTGACTAAGGGTGGTTGCCTTGGGTATCGGAAACACCTGCTGACGCTTAGAGAAAAGCGGGGTAGCGGTGGTATTGTTTCCGGTACTGAGGGAAGGCCCACCGGAACTTAGTAAAGGAGTTAGGAGCAGAGAACAGAGGCCTTCGGAGTATAAGTACTCAGGTTCATTCCCGCCCTTCAGTCCTATTCTCTCCAGTCTTCATCAGAAAGAAAAACCAAGTTCTCATCGGTAGCAGAGCCCTTAAAGATTATTGAGTTCTAGCGATAGTATCTTTGAATAATCTGCAACCTGATTGTCTATCTTGCACGGCCGTCTTTATTCTATACAAATCTATTTCTCTTAGAAAGGACCCCCGTTACAACGAGCCTTCTTTATCTCGGTTTTGCTGAGTTCGGTGTCATTCTCGTCAGGGTTCTCGATGCTCAATGCTTCCCACCAGTCTACAGCGTCGAACGTTATCCTCCAGGCACTCGCCCAAGTTTGGTAGTTGGATTGCCCTTGAAGTTTAGGGAGTCCATCAAACTTGAGACGAATGTTACTGGTGGCTGTGGTCTCTGAGGGTTTAGTCTCAGCAGCACTGGATGACGATTCTCCACCTGAAGGCATGATGTTGTATGAAGTGTTGTTGAGTTAAGCGAGGTGGCGATGGTGTAGTGCGGATTCTATTTGGCAGAACCCGGGCTCATAACCTGTGAATTGGAGTGTGGGAGAATAGACGACTTGAGGAGGGTTTGAACACGTGACCTTTGTGAGGAATATGTTTATAGTGCAAAGAAGATACTATTGCGCTGCTGAGTTCCAGCGACAATTATGGGAGTTTGTTGCTCCTTATATACAGATAGTTCTTAGTACCACGTGATCCCCTGATTACATAATCCTAGCGCTAAGCCTCCTTGTTCCAACTATGAGTCATCCCTTATACATGAGTAATTACCATACATAACCGATGTCGCAATGCCATATTTTTTACAAGACGAAGGGCGGAGAATTTGTGGCTTCATCGATGTCAGGATACACAGGCATTCTAGATGGAGAAACCGCTATCCCGGAACAATGGTAGGCGGCACGGTAAGATCGAATTTTTCATGGTTTACTGCACCCGGACCTTTCAACAGAGGAGAGATTCATTAGATTCCTCAGCTGATATTTGATGTCATACTACGGCGGTGGTGGAAAATGAGACACCTCATGAATCGTGGCTTGAGTGGCACTCTGTCTAGATCTGATTAGACCACATATATGTGCTTTCAGTTAGTAAAAAAGTGATAACACTTCTGCTGGCACATTGATGAGAGTCTGTAAAATAGAGGGTTTAACAGGACACATTTGAAAATGAAATATAAATAAATAAATGGAAATAAATGGAGATAGATATGACCCGTGAGTACTGACCTACTACTAGCCCAAGCTGCGTAATTGAGAAGGACGTAGGTGAGTATATGTACTCTAGCTACAAGTATCCGTAGGTAGTAAGTAAACTGCTCGATAGTCTCTTGATAGATTCTCCCGGTAATGGAGTCCAGCTGGCCAGTGCATTGCGTGCGTGCGTGCATTTCTAATTATCCATGGCATGATGAGACGGGCGGTGAATCTTTACTCAATTACTTAAACGCGTCACCACTAGTTCTTACCAATATCAACCCGCACTATACGTATCACAAGCGCCATTCCGGCTAATCTTACCCTAAACGCTGAATAGATAAGTAAACAAGCGCAAGCTACCTTTCCCCTTCAGCCAGCCTCCAAAGTTCATAAACGATATTATGGGATAGAGGGAATACTAAGCACTCGCCTCACCGCCGTGAATCTCGTGATTGAATTACTTTTATTTATTCCTTGTCATAATTGAGTGGCATTCGATTGGTCCATAGAGACGTCGAAATAAAGTGTGGCGGCCACCCGCCAAGCGGCCCCTCAACGTACCCCGAGAAGTTCAAAAAGGAGGCGGTACTGGGTATTAATGCTTGTGTGCGCCCCCCGCCCCCAACGTACGACATTTTACTCTAATATGTGGCTGGGATCAGGGATTGGCCCGCAGAGTAGCTAAAGTTCTTTGGGGTTGAACTCCAGGTACTCTACTAGTTAGGCTCGTTTAATGAGACTATCTAGAGTACATGTGCTCTAGGTTTATGCGTTACGTTACTTCACACTACTGGACCAGGATAGTCTAAATGGACCTTCTCACAGGAAGGACGGGCCGTAGGAGGGGTTCGATCCTCTTTCATCTTTCCTTCTTTGTCGAGATCCTCTTCTGGGAGACTTTGCTTCTAAAAACCTTTAAGGACATGCAGGGCGCAGCTAGGCAGGCACTACTCTACATACATTGGAGGGTACCTACATAAAAATTCATCACCGGCGTTCAAACTCGGCTCCCTCTAGTTCAGAACGATCTCCGAAATCTCAAGCCGGTGCAGGAACAAAAGGTACCTAACTTGATAAATAATTTATACTCTACACAACTAGGCGGGGAGGCGTATTTTGCTACTGCAATGCGCTGCATTCCTTTACCGAGGGGATCGGGACTGGGTCGTACCGGGTTCCGTCGTGATGGTGGTGAATGGTGTCAGGATGAGGTGTCGGATGCCGGCCGAGCGTAAAGAAATGGTACGGGGGTTACGACTCATAGAAGGTCTTTCTATAGGGGCTTAAACTGATATTGAGATGTAAAGGAGAGCTCACGATAGGAACTGTTCTAGATATATAGGTTGTTGACGTCAATCGGCACAAAATCACCCGATGAAACGAGCCTGGCTCAAGAAGTATGTGAGTTTAGTTTTTTTCATTTGAAAAATCTATCGCCAGGACGTTGATCATGCCCTCTGAAGTACGTGTATCAGAGTCTCCTTCCAGTTGGGTATACCCTGGCTGTGTATTAGAAATCTTTAGGTAAAGATCCTAGCTAGGTATTAGAATATTAATACTAATCTTCAAATAGAGATGCTTTAGTGGCGCTATTCCGTGCACAAACCTCGATGTGACTTGCTACTCACTTTAGCCTGCGCTGTTTTGTTCGCCCATCATATCTAAAGTACTGGTTCTCAAAGACCATGGATCCAGTGACTCCCATGCATATATGTCAAATCAAATAGACGTATCGGCCCCCTTTGTCAGCTACCCCAGCCCCGCGAGCCCGTAACTACATGCTAAAGTATTCCCTTTAATCTACATCTAAACACGCGATGTCAGTCTTCTCCTTTAGCTCTTTTTCACTAGTCTGGCTATTCTCTAATTCTGTCCTGGGTCGAAAAGACCATTAGAACTACATATACATGTAAATATAACGATTATAGACTACATACACATAGGGTGCTCTGACAACGTGATAACATTCTTTTCTTTGAGTGGAGGTTTTCCCTATCAGGTGGCATGTAGAAGAGGATACATTTTGAAAGTCTATGAGGGACTCTTTATGAACCTCTTCCGTATAAGTCAGTCCGTCTAGTCAACGAGTTTCCATTTAAAAAGCCCAAGAATAAAAAACTCGGGAAAGCCAGTGGGGTAAAGGGATATACGCACGACATGGGTAGCCAGATGTCCCTGATCCTTCACTGTTTAATATGACACTGCTGTAATTTCTAGGGAGTCTTATTCCAGTAGAGATAGGCGTTCCCAGGTCTAGGCAGATTGTTAATACGATCCCAGGTAACATTCATCTTAACTCTGTAGTAGGTACATCTAATAATTATCCCCTGCATACCCTACTAATAGGTACTTCCTCAGAGCTCACAGAGTGTCTGTGAAACTCTGCGCTCGCTTCAAGCCGAAGATGCCCTCATCAGTACTCTCACCTCTTTGGCCACGAGGAAACCGCGATACCCGGTCACCGAAAAACGTGGCGTACCCCACTAATAGCTATACTGTATGATATGGTATTGTGAGTACGAGTACGGTCTTTGTATATAAGTTCTCTTCTGGGTCTTCCTTTTTTCCCCTCATCAATTTCTAAGTATCTCTCAGAATATACACACACTCGTTCTTCGCATTCTCACATTCGTTCATTCATAATGCCTGGTTTATCCTCCTACCTAGTTTCTGCTCTATCACTGGCATCAGTTGCCCTAGCATCTCCAATTGCAAAGGCGCAGCTTGTGGGACGAGATACCTCGCTCCTAGCGTCTTACGACTATGTTATTGTTGGTGGTGGGACTAGTGGTCTGATTGTCGCCGACAGGCTTACTGAGAACTCGTCCAGTCAGTTTTCTTCTCCCTAACTTTAACCCTCTTCTTTTTTCTGACTTTTGACGTTGGTAACTAGAAACCGTGCTGGTAATTGAATCCGGTAATTTGGATGACCAGGAAGATGGAGTTCTAGTTCCTGGCATGGCGGGTGGTACAGGAAAGAAGTACATGTATAACATTACCTGTATCCCCCAGAAAAATATCAATAACCGCACATACAGTCTCCTGGCTGCACATGTCGTTGGTGGGGGGACCGTCGTGAACGGGATGTTCTTTGATCGAGGTTCAAGGGGCGATTATGACCTGTGGGAGGCGCTAGGTAACCCTGGTTGGGGCTGGAGCGGGATATTCCCATATTTCAAGAAGGTAGGTATCTTTATACGATTTCCAGGGAGCTCAAGCTGACAGTTATTCAGAGTGAAACATTCTCTCCTCCGGATAAGGCGTTAGCAGACGAGTTCAATATCACCTACGATGCGAGCGCCCACGGCTACCAGGGCGTCATCAAGTCTAGTTTCCCAAAGTTCCAGTATCAAGCTGTCAAGGACTGGTTCAAAGCTTTCAAGCAGCTTGGTATTCCCACTCCTCAAGACGGCTCCGGCGGTGATGCTATCGGTGCATTCTGGGTCTCTAACTCTCTGGACAATGACAACCAAACACGCTCCTATGCAAGACGCTATTACGAAGAGGCCAAGGGGAGGTCGAACTATCATCTTATTACCGGAAAGACAGTGACAAAACTTGTCCTGTCCGGCACCACTGTTACAGGTGTTGAGTTTGCCGGAAGTGCAAGTGAAACTGCTACTAAGGTTTCTGCGAAGAAGGAGGTTGTATTGGCGGCCGGAACAGGACATACGCCACAGCTTCTTCAGTTGGCCGGAATTGGGCCGAAGAAGCTGCTGGAGAGCTTGGGGATCAAGACGGTGGTTGATCTTCCCGGTGTGGGAAGCAACTTCCAGGACCATCCTGTGCTCTACTTCTCAGGATCATGTAAGTACCCTTCATCATATAATTCTTCTGGAAGAATTAGTTCTAATCTTAACCCTAGTCTCAAACGACTACCCGATCACCCCTGCACTCCTTACCTCAAACGCTACATATGCCGCCGAGCAACTAGCGTTATACCGTTCAAAGCGTGAGGGCCCATACACCATCTCCCGTGGTAACTCGGTCGCCTTCAACACTCTCCCCCAGCTCAGCTCCCAGTCGATCGCCAACAGTCTTATGCAAACAGCCCTCTCTCAGAACCCAGCCGACTTCTACCCCGCCGGCACTGACTCCACTATCCTAGAGGGTCACAAGCGCCAAACAGAGCTCCTTGCGAACTATATCTCCAGCGGCCGTGTCGCCGTCCAAGAAATCGCCTTTGGTGGTTCCGCCGGCGGTGGAAATGGCCTCGAGAAGTCGTTCTCACGTGGTAGCATCAACATCAACTCTACCGACCCATGGGCTGCTCCCGTCGTTGACTACGGTGTTATGAGTAACCCGGTGGATATGGACATGATGGTGCAGCTCATCCGCTTTGTGTGGAAGCTATATGATACCCCAGCCCTCCAGGCGCTAGGTGCAAAGGCGCTCACACCAGACCCAGCGAATAACTCGGATGATGCAATCAAGGCAGCGATTAGAGCAACGCTAACCCCGACTTTTGCGCACCCGAGTTCGACGTGCTCGATGATGAGGAGGGAGTATGGAGGTGTGGTGGATAGTACGTTGAAGGTGTATGGAGTGAATAATCTGAGTATTGTGGATGCGTCAATTATTCCGATGACTCCTGCGACACACATTCAAAGTACAGTGTATGCTGTGGCGGAGAAGGCGGCAGATATCATCAAGAGTAGGCAGTGAGTGGTCATGAGTGGGGATGGGGGAATGAAGTTGGGGCGGTGTACTTTTATCATGTAACAATATGTACCATCTAGTTTAAGTAGGATTTCTTCTTCATCATAATAGATTAAATAATACGATTCAACCATCAAGAATCCGCATTGCGCTAAATGCGAAGAAAAACTTGTTGCCATGCATGCTCGTGCCCAGAATTGTAATCATAACATATCACTCGGGCCTTGGCGCTCAGCTATCACCTTGAGGCATGGGTACCTACCTACATGTAAGATTGCGCTACAAATGCTTCTCTAGGACCACCTACTTCCATCCCCGGAGATGTAATGACTATTACGCAGACTCTGTTGTCATTGGGATTTGAGATCACGCGTTCGAGTACGAGTCCCTACGCCGAATCAATAGGCTTTCCTCCGTATATATCTACACGCGCGAATTCAGGAAATGAAACTGTTTTTATTCTGCATTTTTTATTTCTAAGGGCCTGAGCATGAGGTTCTATTTTGTGTACATACAGGGGCAAGCAGAAAACTATATGTAGTCACTGTTATTGCATCGTACTCACTCATATCTTCTCACTGTATGACAGAAACAGCCTGTGATGGAGAACTGTATGTAGCGTCAAACCTTTGATTGCTGTATATGTTGGCGATGCTCACTTTGTACGTTGAAAGAGACTACTTGCAAGTACGGACAGGATCATATACGCGGCCTGGATATAGGGCTTGGAATTTGGGGATGTGGCCTCCTGTGTTGAGTTTCTGCCAGGCATGGACAATGTACTTGGATACTGCGTTGCGTTTATAGAGAATTAGCGGATGGTTATGCCGGGACTTGCGTTTGCGGGGGCGGTTGTTTAATTATGTTCTTGAGTAGTGTGTAGTATTAAGACGGGGTGTGAAGAGTATTGATGAATTTTAAGAGATGCCAGAGCTAGAGGTTTATCTAGCTGGCCGCTGAACTGATCTGCTTATATGTATTGTAAAAATACCATAACAAAGCCAGTATATTTGCGGCGAGGAAAATGCGATTAAAAGGGCTTTCCTGGCGGATAGATGGAGGGCATAATACTCATCTATTTCGTAGTCTCTCCTCTTTTCCCTGCATGGATGTTTTCCTCGAATTCGAATTCATCTACGATGATACTTGGGTTATTCTTGTGAAGAGTGGTGGAAGGGACATGTGGGGGTCGAGTGACGTTGTAAAGTTTAAGGTTTGTTTTTCGTGTACATGTTCGTTTCTGGTGGGCCGCTCCTGACGTGACACGTAACGTAATATCTATTCATTGACCCGTGAAAGAGTCTCATATCTCAATCCTCTCGATCGATCCCTTTCTCTCTACCTGTCGGATTTCGCTGTTTCAGAGCCAACATTCGAGCATTCCACTTCCAGAGTCTCTCGCAGAGAACCGGATCCGTGGCATGCTGGCACCTGATCATTACAAGATGGTGTGCTTTCCAGTCGAATGGAAGTGCGGTTGGGCTCGTATCGATGCGTGGGGCTGTTCGGTCCACGTCTCGTATTGTATTCGGCCCCAACTCGGAGGGGGTTTTCGACTATCTTCGAATGGCATTAGATATGGTTGTTATTTCGGTATCTATCTCGTACATACGTGTTCAAGACGTGCTAACTAGCTAGCAGGGTGTTACAATTCGACTTCAATCCGGATATCATGTGCGGGGTCTTTCGACTAACGTCCAATAGCATCAAATATGTAAATGGTTGCTTCCAGAAGTGCTCACTACATGTAGCTAGCGGCATGTTATAATCCTTATTGATTCATGGCTATATGTTATGTTTGTTGGTGTTGACTAGTGTAGATTATTCAACAAGGCTTTCTCGAAAGCCCATATCGGCTCCTACCGTCCTATTAGCTTCCACCAAGGCTTCCCCGAACTATCATATATCATACCAGTCACTAGCTTCAACCAAGGCTGCTCCTGCCTACATATCTTCACAGCACGTCACTCGCGCCACGAACAAGGCTGCAAACGTAAATAGACTCTCGAGATCTCCCAATTGATATACATGTTATATTGCGCGACTTTTACAAGTATGTACATGTAAATGTACATACGGGGATGCCGAGAGCATTGTACAAGTCAGTGGTACATGTGCGCCGTGGCTTAGACTCGTACCACCAGCGGGGGTGGTACAGGCGTGGTACACACACAGGTCACACAGAGCAGATCTTTATCGATTGGGTATAACAATGCCTCCCTCCGAGAGTGAAGAGTGAGTGGTTGGGTACCTGACTCAAGGGCCAGTGTCACAGGGTACCTGTCTCAATTGCTCATACCTTGTATGTACATACTAGGCACCTATGAAGTTGAGCCTCGCTATCAGGCTAGGCCCTATCTATCTATCTAGCGGCTGGATCTCTTCGTCCAACGTTGTGCAACACCGATTCCCGTTCTCCCAAGGCGTTCTGGAAGGCGCGGTTTCGAACGGGTACATATCTGATGATTTATCACATTTCTAACTGTCAAGATGGTATGTACTTATCATTTGTGATAGGGAGGTGGATCTCGTGGCAGGGATCATCCTATTCTATCATCTATGGCCGCGCGTGAAGTGGGGCGCGGTAGGGATGGGTTATGAGGGTAGAGGGTTTCGTTCACGATAGGCGCGCAGAAATCGGTAGAGTACTTGTTAGTAAGTACAGTAGTCAATATCTACATATTTCCTCGCGATACAGTTCCTATCTCTACTGAAGCCTTTGTTTTAGCGGGGGCTATGGTTAGCGGGAGCTAGGGTTCAAGTAGAGGGCGCGGGTTGTGGTCTCCAAGGATGGCGTACCGCAGTATCAGCGTGCAGGGACCGCGGTAGTAGGTGCTCTAGTTTCGCGATAGATTACTAACTAGCTAGTTTTGTCTAATCTCTACGGGGAGGTACGATAGAGTACGGCTGTCTACATGTAGTCTACTTACTCTAAAGTCTAGAGTACATAGCTGCTCCATCCTGAATAGTAAACCGAACACGCGACGGAGGGAACTCGTCAGCCCAGAGATCTCTGGCAACGGGACCTTCCCGATGAATGCTGAGGAATCTTGTTTACCGCCCGCCAAGAGAGCTGGTGAGGAGGATGAGGAGGAGCTTCGCGAGCCCAGCCGGATAAAATGCGTTTGAAAAAGTAATGTAAATTCTCTTGCATACGAGCTCTGTTAGTCAAGAGATATGGCCGTATGTTTTCCTATGTTTCTCGCTCAGTTGACCGCTGGCATCATACGTCGGTCGGCCCTGATACCTGATAAGAAAAAGAAGCAGAGTTGGCAACGGCTTTCTTGGGGGCAGAGGCTTGATGGCTGGCTGGCGCACGGACAAATGGACGCCTTTCCACCACAAGATCTCGCTGCAACTGCGGGGGCATTCCGGTCGGTGGTGTTTGTGCAACATCCCTAGCGGCGGTACTGATTCGTGGAGGGGTTTGGTTACACAGGCTGGTGGTTTCATCCTCTGTTGATGATAGGAGGGAGAGAAGTGCTGTTTTGAAATCTATTCTGATTTTCTATTACTGAATTAGCTGCTTCTACCACTACTCGCAGCAGGTAACAAGTACCCGAAAATGCACGTCCTAATCTGCAATTTCCATTGGATTAGAAGTCAAAAATACACCAAAAACTTGCAGCTGCATATTCGGGTACTTCATGCCTGTCGCGAGTACTACCACTACATAATACGAGGATTGGTTGCGGGGGGAGGAGGTTCGCTTTTCGTCGGGAGCTTATTTGATTGTTGAAATTAGGGTTGGGGAGAACGTTACTGGATCGAGATAGATCTCCGGGATACATACATATGTTTTGCTTTTTGGTTGCTTTTGGCGAAACGAGAGGGAGAGAGGCAACTTCCCAAGGCTTTCGAGAAGTTGGGGTACTTGGAAGGAAGCTAACCTGGGCATAGGAGTACGTTGGTGGAGTATGTAGGTAAGTTGATACTCTAGCTTCATGGTTATCTTCTGGGCACAGCTGTGGTAGGTAGGTATTCTCAACTGTGTGTACATTTTAGGAAGGAGATAGAGAGCGCCTCGTAGAAGCAGCAGCAGCAGCAGCAGCAGAGATTCACCAGTGAGGCAAATTAAAAATCACTTTCCCTGTCAGCACCCGCCTACCTGCCTACCTCTCCCTGCCTTGTGCTTTATTTTCTTTGTATCACGTCCCCAGAACTGGACTGACTATATCTTACCTCCCCTCCCCCCGCACAGGTGTATTTTCCATTCTCTAGAGTAGCTCACTTGGGATTGTCGTTCTTCACTTGCCTGGTTAGTTTCCTCTCCTCTCCATCATATCATTACCACTGCATGACGGCACTGCACCCTCTCCGCTGGAAAAATAACATATACTTATAAATATACGCGACCAGACCAAACAGACATAGAGATCCAGCTTTCTTTCTCGCCAACCACCACCATGAACCGCAGAGGAAACGGCACCAGTATCTCCTCCTCCTCATCGGAGCAGCGGGGCACCCGCAGCAACGAGAAGATCGATGAGCCAGTCACAGAGTTGCCCAATGAGGGCGAGATGGACCTGCATCGTGGGCTCAAGGCGAGACACATCACTATGATTGCTATCGGTGGTGCTATCGGGACAGGATTAATTATTGGAACGTGAGTGTCAATGCGCCTGGCGTTAAGCTTTATAATTACATGTATGTGTAGGATGGACGGAAAGGTGCTAACTCGATGTGTGTACTAGCGGATCGGCGCTGACCCGTGCGGGACCTGCGTCTATATTGATCTCATATTCGATTGTGGGCTTCTTGGTGTATTTGGTAATGTGTGCGCTGGGCGAGATGGCGGCGTGGCTGCCAATGTCTTCGGGGTTTACAGGGTATGCGACGAGGTTTTGTGATCCGGCTCTAGGGTTTGCTTTGGGGTATACGTATTGGTTTAAGTATGTACTTTTTCCATTGCTATTTTCTTTAGTATTAGTACTTCTTCCTGGGATATCAAGTGCTGATGGCTCTGGTGCGTGAATAGATATATCATTGTCACGCCAAATCAATTGACGGCTGCGGCGCTGGTGATACAGTATTGGGTTGATCGAGACAGAGTCAATCCGGGAGTCTGGATTGTTATCTTTCTGGTTGTTATCGTCTGCATCAACTACTTTGGAATCCGCTTTTTCGGAGAGTTTGAATTCTGGCTATCCAGTACGAAATCCCCCTCACCCCCCGAGTAATCCATGAATACCCTCTAACCCTCCCACAGGTATCAAAGTCGTGACCATCGTCGCCCTCATCATCCTCTCCGTCGTCCTCGTGCTCGGCGGCGGCCCCGACCACGACCGCAAAGGTTTCCGCTACTGGAAGAATCCCGGCGCCTTCAAAACCTACGTGGACACTGGCGACACTGGCCGCTTCCTCGCTCTCTGGTCCACCTTCATCAGCGCAACCTTCGCCTATCTCGGGACTGAGCTCGTCGGTGTGACCGTCGGCGAGGCCCAGAACCCGCGAAAGACTATCCCCCGCGCAATCAAGCTGACATTCTACCGTATCGTCTTCTTCTATGTCTTCTCCGTCTTCCTCCTCGGAATGCTCGTCCCCTACGACTCCCCCGAGCTCATCTTCGCTACCAAGCAGTCCACCGGCGCAACCGCGAGTCCCTTCGTCGTCGCCATCCAGCTCAGCGGCATCCCTCACCTCCCCGGAATTCTCAACGCGTGTATCCTCATCTTCGTCTTCTCCGCCTCGAACTCGGACCTCTACATCGCTTCACGAACTATCTACGGTCTCGCAAAAGAAGGAAAGGCCCCGGCCTTCCTGGCTAAAACTGATTCCCGCGGTGTCCCTTACAACGCCCTCGCCGCATCGGCATTTTTCTCCCTGCTGGCATTCATGAACGTTGCCGAGGACTCCAAAACAGTGTTCCTGTACTTTGTCAACCTCGTCACCATCTTCGGTATCCTGACGTGGATCTCGATCCTTGTCACACACATCTACTTTGTGCGCGCGCGCCGCGCTCAGAACGTCACGGACGACCAGCTGGCGTATACGGCGCCTTTCGGACCGGCGGGATCGTATGCCGCCCTTGTGATGTGCATCCTGATTGCGGTGTTTAAGAACTGGAATGCGTTTGTGCCTGGAGAATATGGCAAGTGGGATTATAAGACGTTTATAACAGGTTATCTGGGTATCCCGCTGTACTTGATTATGATCTTTGGATACAAGTTCTTGTACAAGAACTCGGGGCTAGCGCCGGAGGATGCGGACTTGTTTACCGGCAAGGACAGGATCGATAGAGAGGAGGAAGCGTTCTTGGCTAACCAGGCGGAGAAGGAGACCGGGCGTGGCGGTGGATGGTTTTATAGAACATTTGTGTCTTGGCTCTTTTAGAAGAGCTAGATGTAGATGGCTTTTCTTTTGTTGTTTCGTTTTTTGCTCTATGTCTGGTTTTGAGATGCGCTGCTGCTTCTGATGATGAGGTGGGCTTTCTTTTGTTGTGATGAAATCTTTCCTTACGGTTGGCTATGGTTATGGTTATGACTGCGGGTTGGGTGGAATAATGAGGGGAGTGAGAAACGGACTTATGTATGTACGCACTTGGCTATAGTAGAAATATAAAATTATCTTTATAGACACACTTGCAGCCCGGAAACTATGATATCATTGAATTCATCAGCGCCAGGAGCCGGATTCCTCTCTGTCGGCGGGGGTGTATGTGGCTCCCAATCGCGATATGAGGTACTAATAGTAGCCGTAGCTTAAGAGATAACAGATAGGTCGCGGAATATTCGCCCAGGCCTAGTCTAGAGTTATATAAAGCACCTCTAAAAGTATATGTTTCTTTAAATGCGTAATTAGAAGAAATACGTTTGGCGTTGGGTTGTTTAGTGCGGAGCGAGTGAGTGGCTGTGAGCCAAGACCACTAGTGGACCCTAATGTGGGGGTCAATGTATTTATTCAAGTCTTAGAAGATTCTTAAAATTGAGTTATATACCAACATCGGTATCTCTGGCGCTCCCCCAGGTTCTCCTGGCTGAGGCTCTGTCTTTTTTTTCTTTTTGACGGACCTATAGAAAGTTGAATCGCGGGTGGGTGGTTTCTAAACTTAATTACAGTCGTTCACGGGGTGAGGGCGAACATTGGGTGAAGACGAACCAGGGTTCTTAATTATATGGCAAGAAACAGCCAAGCTGCCAAAGCGATCTTTCCCATCGTTTCCTATTTGTCCAAAAACCCCTGTTCGTCTATAGCCAGTGTTCGTCCGAACCCTGTGAACGACTATAGTGATGATTCTTAACTGAGTTGAGTCCGATTTCTACTGATAGATCAACCACTAGCTGGTATCGATCTAAATAAACCCTCGGTCCCGTCTTCAGTAACCATTGCAGACCGGCATGTTACAGAGCTATCCATAGCGTTGATGTAGCTACCTACAGTACCAAAAAAGCGATCGGATTCAGAGTCAGTACCTCATCTAGCAGAATACCGCGAGGTTGCGGTATTTCTACGGTATAATAGTTAGAATCGCAACTTAATTCGGAAGGTTTGCGCAATTCCGTATTGCTAAAGTACCTATTACATCCCCTTTTTTGGTACTGTAGTCTCGAACATGGTATTCAAGTCAGGCATTGACGGTTCTTCTATTAGTAACGGCATAGCCCTACTATTAAGGGCTTTACTAATAGCTCATAACTTTCCGTACCTGTATCTACTGTTGTGCTTGTAGTACGTAGATTGTGCGAAGTAGTGGGACAGAAATCTAAGTGAATATTGAGAACCCTAACCCTGACAGACCTCTCATTTTGACCCTGTATATAACGAGTAGTTATATATACATGGTTCATGATTAGGCTTTTGAGTGTGGGGGACGATATTGATTCTTGTAACGAGCGATTTTCAGGGAAGATAGTGCTCGGACTTCTAGCTTCCTATCTCATCAGGGTACCAGGATATTCTAGTATCTAACGATTCTAACCCCAGTATAAAACCGGCCTAGTCTCAGATCCCTAGCCTAACAATACACTGTTGCGCATTCGCTAGGGTGCGAGAGCGTTCCCACTTGTTACGGGTACCTTGACGGGTTTCGAGACTGAGGAAACCTGGGATCGAGCTTGACTCCCGTCTCGTGGGCCCGGGGGCGGGGCTGTGCGTGTAAATCTTCACTTTTGGCGGAGTCCTGTCGATCGTTAGATAACCTAGCCTGGTTGGCTTTTCAATAAATACACATTACTGCTCAGGCCCGGTGGGGAAAGTGAAGACTTACTGATGCTCTTATCTAAAGTGCTGCATGATGGGTTGCTAATCATTTATCGTAGCCTTGTGGGGGATGCTTGTTAGAGGCCTATATATATCGCCATGGAGAGGGACTTCCTAGACAGCCTGCGATTCGGATAAGGGTCCGTAAGGTTTAGATAAGGCTTACACGGCGCTGCGGTTCGATGGCAAATGAGAGATCGCCATTTAAGCTCAAAGTGGAACAAGGCTGCATCTGAAGTATATCGCCCCGCAGTGGTGGCCCAAGCTCCAAGTAGCAGCCCGATCTCACTGAGGCTAACTACGCTCCTGTCTTTTTCATGGCAGACGAGCTGTACTCTTCCTACTTGTGTCTTGTCTAGAATACGTGGCTCGAGAAATGGTACGTACCACTCGTCTATATAAACCTCTAGAACCCATCTTGCAAGTTACAACCACTACCGTACGTACTCTGGTCATCTGAGTGATGTCTTTGCCTCTGTTGTAGCATAACCCTAATATAGGAGCTGATAAAGCTGTCACCAGATATAGCCATTAACCTGCAAGACCAAAGATAAACACGTGCATGCACATGCTTGTTTTGAGGATCGAGGCTGTCCAATCTCAGCTCGGGAAGGATGTTTACCAGCCAATCAATCGCGGGAGCTGGGATGAGTTTAACAGAATGTGAGTGGCCTTTACTTCTAACTACATACACTCCTCAAGGTCCTAGCTGTGTGCAACGCGACGTCAGAAGTTAGGCACCGAGGAGACACTTGACAAATTAGGGTATTTGTTTCAACTTAGCGCTCTCAGGAAACGTTTTTGAGGAAGATAGCCTGGTCGCTCTTTGAGGATCGACATCTCTAGAGTGGCTGTCGTCGTCACCTCAAAACTGCCTATTCCCGACGAATCGCATTCTCGCCTGTCAACCTGATTCCTGAGGTTCTAGATCGCAAGATTTCTTTTTGGCCAACGCGATAGGTCTTATATTTAGGAGAGTTGTAGCGGCCTGATATGTATAATTAATTGTATTAACAGGCAAGGGAGACCGCCTATCACTCCAGATGCTTCCATCTCTGACTGGAAATCTGGTTGTTGGATCAATGCGACCAATCACATCTACTATCAAGAATAAGGCGGCCAATCGTCACGCGGAATCACTCGGACGAGGCTATGCTGCTTGCCTAATGATTCACATTGTTGGCTTCTCGCTCAGTCGAAAAATGGGAGGCCTTAAACTTGTATATATTGAAGCCGAATTGTGCAGTTGAGAATAGTCCTTTTCTTCCTCACTATCCGCGAGCTCTCATCCAGAATCCTTTTACGAATAAGCGAAGCTTATTTAGTTGTGGTATACCGGTACTGGATTCTAGTTGTTGTTGCATAAGGCTAGGGGAGCGACTCAAGTAATTATAAGCGCTAGCTGAATTCAAGTTAATTGTATAAAACCCGGTCTTCTCGAGCTTTTTTGGCTTATATAATACTAATTCGAATAGATGTCATCCAATCGATTTTCAGTCCTTGAGGATAAAGTTGGCGATTCAACCAGTTCTAGTAATTCCGAGAGACCATGGCCGAGAACGAGGTTTTACACTCGCCCATCGCAGCCTAAATGGTCAGCTGTAAAGGCGTACCTCGAGGCAAATGTAAATATATACCGAGAACTGCAAGTTTTCCGCGGAGAAGTACGTATTTGAAGCTAGATTTCATCTGTATTACACCAGATCTATAACTTACCGAATTATGGTATCCAGGGCTGGAAATCAGAAGAGGCAGATACATTCTTCAAGAATCGACAGTTTGCCGCCGACACTGCAAACTTACAGAAGCAAAAGGGCTTCTATAATATGATGATCAAGATCGCCGCCCAAATCAACGATGCCACCCACGCCTTCAGCCACGAAAATTGCCAATCAGTGCTCGACCTCTGTATTGCCCCCGGCGGCTTTGCCGACTACGCACTCCGCCAGAACTTCCGATGTGTAGTTGACGGAACTAGCCTCCCTACTGCCCAGGGCGGACATCAAATGCTGCTCCGAACTCAGGGGAGAAGTAATGTGGCGATCACATATACGGACATTACTATGCACACCGTATTCCTCCCAACTGGCGCGAGCATCCCCGCAGACTCCCCTGATAGGGACGAATTTAGCAAGAATAGGCCGTTGCCAAAGCTATGGAGCTATGGGCTCGTCATTTGTGACGGAAACAGGCTGAGAGGCCATGAGCATGGAATGCTCAGAAAGTGGGAGCCGCTGAGATTAACATTATCCCAACTGATCCTGGGACTAACCCACGTGCGTCCCGGGGGGTCAATGATTGTGCTGCTTCATGGGGCAGATCACTGGGATACTGTAGCGATGTTGTACCAGTTTAACAAGTTCTCCGATATCCACTTGTTCAAGCCAAAAGCTGCGCACAGGAATCGTTCAAGTTTCTATCTAGTCGCAAACAACATCAAGCCGGAACTAGCGGCGCCGTGGGTCGATCATCTGAAGGATTGCTGGTACAGGGCCACCTTTGGTGGTGAGGCTGGACTAGGCGAACATGTTGATATCGATGAGGACCTAGATGTGGAGGTTGTTTTGAAAGAGTTTGGTGAGCAGCTGATTGATATGGGGACGGAGTTGTGGAGGATTCAGAAAGAGGCCTTAGAGACTTGGGACTGGAGCGGTAATCTTACGTGGTCGAATTCGGGGGGTGCGAAGGAAGGTGGATTTGTGAATAAGAATCGGTTGGCCGGAGGAATGGCGGATCTGGCTGTAAGGAGAAATGCGGCGGCAGTTTGAGTGGGTTCGAGAATCTTTTGATTCTCATCTTTCCGATAATGGCTTTGCAGACGATTGTCCTTACCTCTTTTTACTAACGCGTAACGCATAACGGCCGCTCACTCTCCTATTTTTATTTTCTTTATGACAATTTCCTGTTTTATTGTAGGGCGTCTGGGTTCTCATTTTTTCTTTTGTAATTGGGTTGAGATAGTGTGAGGGAAATAAACAAATACTAAAGTTCTGTGTGTTGTTTGAACTACTATGAAAGGTAAGTTTTTCGCTCTACTCGAGTATGCAGGAACCATCAGGTGAATTTAAGGTTCAATGCAAGGTTATCTTGCATGGATCCCAAAACTAGTAGATACTTATATGGCAGCGACTTTATGGCCTCGCCTATGATGGTCTTGATTTCTGGCGAGCCGTGCAGTGTTTTTTGAAATAAACGAGTGATAATCGGTGAGTGAGCTAATCACACGGTATCACTCGAGCGAAGTGTAATCCCGATTTCGCTCATAGCATTTCTTATACACTCAATTGGCGATCTTTCGCGGGTCAGCCATGGTCATAAAAGACTGGTAAACACCCGGTGATAGCATGGGTTATTTGAGTCGAACTAGACCAATTAGACATATTTGTAGTCTTGATATATCCAGGGACTCCGGTTTTAATACTTAGTCGGAGCCTGCCTCGAGGAAATGTGGGTCGTATCAGGCCATGCAAAGCCATGCTTGGTTATTAAGGTTTTGACAGGTGCTCCTCTCTTCCGGCCTTATGGATGCGCCGCGTGTGAGTCTGCTGGCCAGAGTTCTCCTTTGTCTTTTTTTCTTTTTCTTTTATCTGGCATTTTGGGCTGTGCCCTATGCAACGGTTTTCTCCCAAAACGGGACGTACGTGTTGCAATGGCCCAGTTAGTGATGGTTTTTGACCAAGATTTCTTTCATTGGTCTCATAGCCTCTTTAGCTTTGGTAGACTCAGTTCTACCTCAAATAATATTCGTTATCGGGACGTCATTGGGTTTCTAGTTTGGTCAGTAACTTTCTAGAGCCATTTGCATGATAAAAGTGGTGGGTGTGTGAGGCGGAGGTGAAGATTTATAAAAGGTTGATGTAGAGGCATATGGTAGATGATAAATTGATGGGTGGCGGGGTGGGGAATGGATGGTGTTTTAGGAGTTGGTGGTGGTGTGGGTGACGACGAGGAAGGTGAAGGTGAGATGGTGGTCGAGGAGTTGTTAGTGTGGGGTGACCGCTCTATTTGTAGAAAGCCCTAACAGGTGGTCATTGACTCTCGGGCAGGAACCGCGTATTTAAAGTTTATGCTAAACGCTCAACTCCACCCCCAGTGAGACACCAAAACAACCACTGTGGGAATCGGGTTAGAGCCATTGTCTCTTTACACGCTGTGCCTTGAGGTGCACATCTAGACTGGTGGGTACATAGGCGGTCTCGATACTTCTTCTCTTGCGAATGATTGCCTGAGATTGCTAGTAGGTCCCCTCGCGGGTATCTTTCAAGTGATAAGCTACATTCCGCAATCATGCCAAAGGTTTCGTAAGTCACGATGGAGAAGTATACACTGTTGTGATTTCTTCCCTCTCTTCATATATGACCATAGCTTTTTAGTTACATGTACATGATGACTTATACCACGCCCTCATCGCCGTATTGGCCCACGCCCACGCCCTATTAGTCCGCCTCTCAACCTATTACTACCCCGGAACAAAGGATTTCGACCTCTTTCAGTACCCACGTTGCTCTTCGGAGAAGGACGGCGCGAGCCCACCACCTCCTTACTATCCAAAAGCGCAAAAATCGGCTCAGACAGCACCACCCACTTCACAACTCCCAGTACCCTCATGACCGCCACGTTCTTCATCCCACACGCCCTCTTCAGCGTCCTAATCCCCTGCAAAGTCTCCGAGCTCACGACCCCCACCGGCGTTTTCGGCGACCACCAGCGCGCCTCACCCCCCTTGTAACGTATGATCTGGTGCCAGTATCTGAGCCCATTCTTCGTAGCAATAAACGTCTCGGGAAGGTCGGGGTCAGTCTCGGTGGAGATTGTGAGGGCGAGGGAGTAGGCGGGGCCGATGCCGGGGGCGGCGCAGATGATGTTGACGATGTCTTCCATGTACAGCCATCTTGTGATCAGGAGGAGAATCTCGTTGGGGAGGGTTTCGATGAGTGGGGTGGGGGGCGTGTGCACGTAGTAGAGTTGGTGTATGTTCTGGGGGGAGACGAAACTGAATACTAGGTCGTACCAGGGCCAGGACTTTGGGATCAATGTGGAATACATTACGATCGAAGGCCGCTGGTTACGACAGAAAATATATCATAGCCATGATAGTGGCAGCCTACTATATAATGCGTATTAACAGGAGCTTCTAAGTGTTTCTGTCTTAACCAGGTATGTTCCATCATTTTTGAAGTATCTGAATGTATTTTCGGAGTTTGATGCACGTAGATCACCGAAAGCGACCGAATACTCTTAGGTAAAACCCTATTGAGGAACTAACTAGAAATCCTTGGAATGCAATAACGTTTGGAGATAAAGCTAATTTTGCGTTGATGGAATAGATTAGTAAGTGTGTGTACCAGACGGAACTAGCAGGGGTTTGTATCATAATAAATCACTCGGTCGATTCCAAGGTTAGGGTTTGTATTTTCTCCAATTAATAACTACATACTGGTAAACAGGGTATTCAACGTAATCTCGTTCCCAGAACTTTACCATGTCACTCCTTCTTCGTTGAGTAGACATACCACGGCCTGTGTACCAGACTCTATCCGGGGGCTCGCCCAAATAACCTTGGGGTAGGCTGTGCACCATGATTGAAGGGTCATCTTTTCTCGGCGCTCGACAAACTATATATATTACATGTAGTACGGAAACAACCACATTTCTACAACGCCCAACAGAACACATCTCTATGCATCTATTTCAACCACGTACACCAACCAAAAAAACCATATATATCTTCTCCAGGAATAAATAAAGCGCACTTCATCTCTTTCCCCAACCTCGATACCTTCACAAAACCAGACTCATGCCACCCAGGCAACACCACCGGCCCCGCGGATTCTCTGCCCCGGGGAATGATCCTGCGCCAATACGGGGACAATTTCACAACAACTTTACCTATAGATACTTTGGTAGTAGGCAGGACTCATCAAGGAGGAGGAGGCGTACAGCGGTAGCGACAGCGACAGGTGCAAATATGGCGACGGTGGCTTCAGTTCCAGCGGCCCCAGGTGTAGCTGATCCAGGTATAGCTGCTCCAGGTGTAGCTACTTCAGTTGTAGCTACTCTGGGTGTAGCTACTTTAGTTGTAGCTACTCTGCGTGGAGCTACTCCTCGTGTCGTCACGCCACGTATATACGTAGCCACTCCACGTGTAACTACTCCACGTGTAGCTACTCCGCGTGTAGCTACTCCGCGTGTAGCTACTCCGCGTGTAACTACTCCACCTACAGTCGCTCCACAGCCAGTGAGCTCCGAGACAGCTATTCCTGCTGTAGTTACTCAGGAAACAGCTGCTCTGGAAGAAGAGACTTTGAAAGCAACTACTTCAGGAACGGAGTCTTCGAGTTCAGGGGCTGAGACTGAAGGAACAGAGGCCACCGACGGAACAGAGGTCACCGAAGTAGAGCTTCCAACTCTAGAGGCAGATACCACCAAAGTAGAGCTTCCTACTCCAGACACAGAGACCACCGACGTAGAGCTTCCTAGTTCAGAAACAGAGACCATCAAAGTAGAACTTCCTATTCTAGAAGCAAAGACCCCTAAGACGGAGACTCCAAAGGTAGAAACAATAGAAGTAACGCCAGCTACGAAACCTATACCTGTTGAGAGGCCCACGGATGGTATAGGGAACTTCGAAACAGATGACTCCACGGTTACAGATCGTGAGGATCCGGAATTCTGGGCGTTATATGACTGGGACGATATTGAAGAGGAGCTTGCACAGATTTCTGGAACATGTCGGGCTCAGATTGATGCGAACAAGGCTAGATTTCAACCACATTTGCCGGTGAAAAAGGAGCCCCAGGGGACAAAACTGGTTATACACAAGGAGCCTGTCGAATTTAAACCGTCATCCAAGGTACAAATGGGACTAGGAGTGACGTACAACAAACCTCGCGGTCCTCCGAAGCATACCCAACATGGTCCCTCACAGCCTTTCCGGCCCCCACGGCATCTACAGAATCCACGCCCTCCGTATCATCAGCCCCCGCATCCTCAGCTTTCTCCGTATACTCAGTATCATCAGCCCCCGCCTCCTCAGTACCCTCCGTATCCTCAGTATCCTCAGTATCCTCAGGTCCCCAATCCTCAGCATACTCAGCAGATCCCATATCCTCCACAGGCTCCACACAGGTGGGGAGATCCACGTCAGGCCCAGTTAGCTATGATAAATAGACAGCATATTGGACCCCGTGTAGCTTCCCAGGCACAGATACCATCATCAGTACCGCCACCACCACCACCTCCGACATTCTTTATCCCACAGCAAGCGAATATACAATTGCCAATACTACCTGAAGTTGGCAAGAATAACACCCGACAGGAAAATCTCCCCCCAATAATACATCCTCCCATGTATAATCCGCCCCAGATGACCCAGTATGTCGAATTGCCTAGTAACAGTGTTGTGACCATGTTTGACTTTTGGCTCGGCGATCCCTTTGATCCCCCTCTGATCTCCGGGGCATGGGAAAGACTAACCATCGCGGCGCCTGGAGAAATGAGACTCTCTACTCTTTTCGAAGATTACTATGCGAAGAGTGGGTTTAATATCACAAACCAAAAACGAACCGTACAAGATCTGAACTTCTATCGGATAAATATCAAGCCTAATGGGCAAATACGTATGGGGGAAGTATACAATTACAATGCTGTATCACATTGCGGAGACATATTGCATGACACGGCATGGTTTACTTGGCAGAGAGTTATACTGGTGGGGGGTGATAGGATGCGTGCTTTTCAAAGCACATATGGCAATCTTTTGATGCCTGAAGATCAGCCTCCTTCAAGCCCCAGGGCTAGCTAGCTAGGCCTCGGTGTATATTTTGGGGAACGTAGTGTTTAGGGGAGTTTGGGTGGTTTTTGTAAAATGCGACGGTTTATAAACTTCCCAGAGCCAGAAGAAAATTCTTAGCTTCCCTAGAAGTTCATTATAAACAATATTAGATGTAAAAAAAACTCTTTCTGTTCGTTTTTTGTGGCTTTTCGTGACATAGTAGAAAATACCTGTTAAGCGATCATTGACACCACGACCCACAAATGCTGCAAATTGATGCTTACCTTCCGCATGCATGCTGCCATCATCATGAGGAGAGGTCGAGTTAAGCTTCTTCTCCCTGGATGGACCCTGCACAGTCCAGAAATTGCCGGGTAACCAGCCAGCAAGGCCCTTCCAGAAAAATCCCATATCCCAGGCCTCGGAAAGCTTCACTCGGGTCCAACATCACCAGTACGTCACACATGTCCGCCCCCAAAACCCAGTCCTCAAAAACTAACATCCCACAGTGTCCCGGCGCCGCAACAGAATCACCCCCAGCGCCGATGGCTGGTCCAACATCGTAGGCAAAGGGCGTGCCCCCCTCCGGAAGCCCTCGGAGCTCACAAAACCCCACAACACCCTCTCCGACTCCACCACCCCCGAATACACCACCTGGCACCCCACCGCCGTCAAAAACCTTGCTACAGCCACCACCGACCTAAACTCCTCCCCCCTCCTCCAAACTCTCACAGCAGCCCTCACAAGCACCTCCACACCACCCATCACCTCCGTCGTCGTCCTCGGCCTCGGAAGCCTCCACGGACCCACCTACACCAGTAGCTTACTGCAGCTCTCTCTTGCGCTAGCACTGTCAAAGCTCCTGGATGCAAAGCTCTACCTCCAGGACCCCGCGTTCAGTACCGCCGATACACGCTTCCTAACAGAGGAGCTCGGCGCAACGGTCCTCGTGGATCCTGAGGCACAGGCAAGAATTGGCGCGGAGGTGATGCTGTTTGCGCCGCATTTGGAGTATGAGGTGTTGCAGAGCGCGTTGCGCGCAAGACCGGGGGTGGTGCTGGCGAATGATGTGGCGGCGTTTATGGATTTGTGAGTTTTACCCTTGTCGGTGGGGGAGGCTGGTGGGGTAGGGGTTTTGGGGGGGGGGGGGGGGGGGGGAGGGGAGAGGGTGCTGATGAGATGATAGGAAGATTAATGCGGCGGCAGCGTATCCGGAGTTTGTGGACTGCCTGCGGGAGTGTGATGCGGTGGTTTTGACGGGCGTGGATGGGAGTGAGGATATTGGTGGTGGGAGGGCGTTTAATCATACGGCGCTGTATGTCCGCCGTGAGAAGCCGCTGGTGGAGGAGACAGTGAAGGAAGAGCAGGTAGCAGAAGGCACCATTAAAAAGAAGAATAGGAGGAATAGGAAAAAGAAGGTGAGTGGGGTGGAAGTAAATGTAGAGGATGTCGCCAAGGGTATGAATAGTATCGCTCTTTAGATAAGGTGTGGGCGCGGGCTTGAGTGATTGTCGGTGATTATATCATTTGTGTTTTAGGCTGTTGGGTATCCCTCTACGCACACCCAAAGCCGGCCAGGTTGAGTTTTACTCGCCAACTACAGCGAGATATGTCTAAACATCAGTTGCGAGGTGGAGATCATATTCAAAGAGGTTAATCCGTAAAGGGGCATTGATATCAAAGATCAAAGTTCAAAGCTTGGAACCGAGATTAGGCGAGCGATATGCTTAATTACTGGAGCAACAACCTTTATCTCAGAGATTTAACTATACAAATAAAACTCCTAGAACAGGTCGTAAAAGAAACAATCCACAAAAGAAAGCCCGTAATGAGCGACGATGCCCTGGTATCCGCAGCAATCCATATACATAAACTCATAGCTACTAACCCAGCCCTGAAAAAGAAAAAAAAAAGATTACAATAAGCTAGTGAAACAAATGCACAAAAGAAAACATCCCAGCGCCGTTGAAAAGCCAACCATCCCGTTCCGTAAAACCTGCCGTTCCGTAGATCCCATGCTAACAAAAAGATAACAAGAAAAATACATTTGTATATATTTTTGGTGAGAAAAAAATAGATTAATTTCCCTATAGATGTTCCTCGCCCATGGAAACCGCCCTTTCCATTGGGATACTATCGACCCTGAGCCGCTCTCTCTCTTCCTCTCCTTCAGTGTTGCGGCGCTTCCTTTCAGCTGTGCCGGGGGCGCCGTTCGTGGGCCTTAGCTTCCGACGGAGACTCTTGATGCGGAGGTTGGATGCAAATGGAGAGTTTTCCGGGAGCTGGGTGTTTGATTGTTGATCTATTTGGAAATGATTGTCAGTCTGCTGTCAAGTATGACTAATTGTGGGAGGACTCTTACGAAGAAGATAATTGTCACGACGGAACTGTCCAACGAATACGTGGGGGTTAGACGAAGAGGGGGGATACATGTTGTTTAAGTAACTGTCGGGCTCGTGGCCTGTTTCGAAATCGTGATAGTGGGATTCCTCACTGAGTTCGGAGGCAGCCGATGCGAAGTCTTCGTCGGAGACTGAGGAGCATGCATATGAGTTGGGGTTTTCCCATAACGCCGCCTAATAATCCAATCAGCCATCCCGCTTTTATCAAGCTACAAAGGAGGATTTCTTACTTTTTCTTCATCAGTGGACGGTTTGCTCCAAAGCGAGTGTGAAGCTCCCCACGTAGGAAGCTCTTGCTCCTTCTGGTCTGACCTAGAGACCCCCTTTCCCTTTCCCTCCGCCATCCCAATAGGCCTCCACATATTCTCCCCAGCCGCAGAAGAGACGCTAACCTTTGTGCTATGAATTCTCATGACCTCTGGCTCAAACGCATCCGCGTTACTTGTTGTCAGCGGGGACTCGGTCTCGTCGCTCATGTCGCTGATTGTTGAAGCACGGCTCACGCCCGGAGAAATAAACTCAGATTCCAGAGAGGAGGAACGAGAGGAGCGTGTAATCCACATGATACCCTGTTCATTCTTCCCATCTACACAGGGTCTCCAGAGACTGCCATCCACCTGAGGTACGGGGGTTGGTTCGGCGGTTTTGACCTTCTTCTGTGGGGCAGTGGAAGAGGAAGTGATTTTGCTGATATCAACTATAGCGGGCTTTGAAGTCAAGATGCTGCGACGCTGCCACAGTTCTGTCTTGTCTCGTCGTGTTGCAAGCGCAAGCTTGATTTCGGCCAGGGTTGGCGTACGACCTTGAGCATCCCAGACGCCGCTACCACCGGTGGGGGTGGCTGGACGAGACCAGAGACTGACTTTTTGTGGTGTTGCCGACGAGGTAGGCATCCAGAGATCTCCGGTGGCAGGTGGGAGTGTAAGAGACTTTTCATCGATAACCTTTGGAACGAAAGGAGCACGTTCTGGTTTTGCAGATGTTGTTCGAGAAGCGGACTCTTTTGACCATAGGGAAGTTGTACTTGTCTTGCGGTATGTCGCAACTGTTGGGATGGTGCGTTTCCAGAGACCCTTCTTAGGTTCATTGGATGGCGCCTTCCACAGGGTACCACTGACAGTTTTGAGGGGCTCCTCGATGAGACGTTTTGGCACTGCAGTCCGAACCGGAGTTGCAGTAGTTGTGCGTGCTGCTGAGTGGGATTCCCAGAGAAGACTTGCTCTACGGGGTCGGCGGGTTGGTGGGGCAGGGGCTTTCCAAAGTCCCTTCTCGGGAGTGCGCTTAGGCGGCTGCCAGAGCGAACCTGTTGCCGGGAGGAGGATGATACTCCTTGTATCCTTCTTTTTCGGAACAGGCAAACGTTGAGGCACGGCACTGGTGGTCCTAGAGGCTGTTCTTGCTGTCCATAGAGGTACAGATGGAGTGACTGTGGTTACCGCTACCGTTTTGATGGGACGCTTCCAGAGACCAATCGGTTTAGCTGCCGACTTTTGTTCCCACAGCGAGCCAGAAACTTGAGCAAGTGGAGCATCAGAGGGAATGAAGGGGACCTTTGTTCGCTCCGCAACTGCAGTTGTCTTTGACCCAGACCCTTGACCCCAGAGAAGTGTTGCGGTTGGCTTTGCGGGTTTTACGGACTGTGTAACAGGTTTCGGTGCTGTCCAAAGCACTGGTGCCTGTCGCACGGGAGACTTTGGCTTCCAAAGATCACCAGTGGCTTTGGGTAGGGTTAGGTCATCCGAGATGCGAACAATGGCGAGCGGTGATCGTTGAGGAACTTTTGCAGTGGTCCTTGAAGCCCTCTCCTTTGACCATAATGGCCTCTTCGTTCCCATTGCTTTCCTCTCCAAGGATATCTGAGCCAAAGTTTTCGTCTTTGCATTTGCGTCCCATAAACCTGTTGCTTTGGGGATTGGTTTCCACAACTGAGGGCGTTCTGGGAGTGCGACCTTTTTCTTCCACATGCCCTCTGAGAAGACAGGAAGAGTTGCCGTAGAGTGATCCTTCTTTGAGCGGAAGGATTCAAGGGGTAGGTCAGCGAAAATTGGAGTTTCTGTGTTGTCCTTCTTCCAAAGTGTCTTAGTAGGGACATTCTTGACAATGATTGGGGCAGCGTCTGTTGCTCCCCAAAGACCAATCTTCGGCACTTCAGCAATCATCTCCAACGGTTCGCTGGTTAGTGCCATTTTCCACAATCCTTCAGGCGGGGCAGAGAACGCTTTGGGAGTAAACTCTCTGCGAGATCGAGAAGACTCAAGCGAAAGGTCGGCGAAAATAGGCGTGGTGGTGACATTGTCCTTTCCCCACAAATGCCTAGTAGCGACAGTAGGAACCGCTTTGGTGGTGATAGTCATATAAGTACTGCTGCTATTAACATTATTATCGGCTGACCATAGTCTCTGTGGGATTTCTGCTTTGCGCCATAGCTTCGGTTTTTCTGGAATAGTATTGCGTGATTTCACCCAAAGTGATCCCTCCATGGGATTTGTGATAGAATTGTGGTTCCTGGTGGTTGTAGAGGTAGACCTGCGAATGGACTCAACTGACAGGTTTTGGAAGATTGATTGTCGTTCTGGTTTTGTCCCGGAAAAACTCCAAAGATTCGATTTTTTCTCCGGCAAGGTAGCTTGGTTGGTTACGGTTAGGGTGCTGTACTTATCAATGTTGTTGGGTTGCCAAAGACCCTTCTTCGTCCCTGTACCCTCGTTTTTCGTTTGACGCCATAGTCCACGCGGACGGGATTCACTCGTTTTATCAGCCGTCCACATTGGGCCACCTACAGGCGCCAAGAAAAGCGGGGGAGGAATATTCGATGCTGCTCGCTTATTCGATCGCGATGGAACTACAGGGATTATCATTACTGATGTCGGAAATATCGGTGCTAGGGGTTTGTCACTTTTGTTCTTTTGCCAGAGGGCGCAAGTCCTCGGAGTAACAAATGTCCTTTCCCGAGGAACCGTGTCTGCAGTGAGCGGCCTCTCTTTTGCCGGCTTTGTCATTACGGCTGGATGCCATAGCCCGTCATGATGGACATGATTGACACCATCCTCTTCTGTTTCGGCAGAGATGAAGGTCCTTAGTTGATCGGATTTCACGGCGACGAACGATCCAGTGGTGTCTGTTGTCAATGTTTGCTGCTTCACCGCAACTCGATCCTTGCCAATGACATTGTGCCTATGCCATAAAGGAACTTTTTTCTCCAGCTTGGCATTCGTTCTGGCCGAGTTCCACAGACCATCCTGAGGAGCTTGCTTCATCCCGGTGCGAGGTGTTGATCCTCCGGGTAAAAGCGACGGAATCCCTGCGACCCAGAGATTGCCTTGCAGAGGTGTCAGCATCAAATTGGCAGCTCCAGCCGACTTCCTTCGTTGAACTGCGACTACGATGGTTTCCCGGCAGATTGTGAATTCTATCCTGGGTGCTTTGAGGGGGGATGCCGTCCAAAGTACGGCAACAGGCGTCATTAGATTTGCAGGAGATGGAGAAGAAACAGGAGATGGATTAGCCCATAAACCGGGCGATACTGAAGCGACATCGTCTTTCTCCTGCAGCTCAGCAGTCTTGATTTTGGGCAATTCGCCGATATATTCAATCTCTTTTGTCCAAAGCCGGCCAGCAGATTTTGGTCGGATATGTACCGCTCGACTCCACAGCGCGCGCGATTCTAATATGGCCGTTATTGCTTTTCTCTCATATCTTTTCCTTCCCTCGATAGTTGCTAATTTCAATGTGAGATTTCTTCTTAGGCCAGTTTGCATATTACTATCGGCGCTCCAAAGCTGCCGCTTTCCAGAATTGTATGCGCCCTGGGGCCACAGACCACTTTGACCATTTGCTTGTTTCCAGAGTGATTGCTTGATATTGAAATTGCTCCAAAGCTCATGAGATTCCAAAGTTGCTAGATTGATGGGGCTGCGTTGTTTGACCTGGCGAATCAACACGATTTCTGGGAGCCTTAATTCAGTGTCAGAAGGCCATAACCCAACAGATTTGCTCTTAACCACCTGCCCATTGGGCCACAATCCTGTTTTCTTAGGTGGTGGAACCCATAATTCCGCTTTTATTGCTGATTCTGCGCTCCAGAGTCGCGACGATTCTATTTGCAAGCCGGTGATGATTATACGAGCGTTGTGGAGACTCTGGTTCGCTGTGCTCGCAAGTGGGCGTGCAGACGGCCACAGAGCCCTCGTTTGCGCATGTTGAAGCTTTCCGTGCGGCCAGAGCCCAGACTCAGTTGCTGGCGCAGACCAGAGACGTGGAAGTAATACTGGTGCTGAGCTCCAAAGCCCTCCAGAGAGTGACACTATTGTGCTTTTGGTTGGGTTACGAGCCTTCGTTGTAGGCGAAACGCGTGGGAGGGGGAGGGGGGAGGGAAGGGGTGGAAGGGGGTGAGCTAATGGCCAAAGATAGCTAGGAGTAGCTACATACGGAACTTCTTCGGGTGCAGTCCAAAGTAGACTTGTGAGCGTTTCCATATTCTGCTCGACGATAGTTGGCTTGACTGCAACAGTTACTGCTTTCCACATTCCCTTTGCCTCAACAGGCTCAAATTGGACGTCACTATAGGACCACAATTGCTCCGACTCAAGTTTCTCAAGTTCAGCTGCCATAACCCGTGAACGTTTCGAGGCAATTCTTGCAGGAATATAATTTAGTGTCAATGCGGAAGGCCAAAGGAAAGAAACAACTTTCTCACGCCCTCCATGAGGCCAGAGCCCGGTCGATCTTTCTGGGAGTGACCACAGCCCGAGCGCTTCTTTAGCAAAGGTCCATAGTTGGTTGGATTCGAGGATTGGGAGTTCAGCTGAGGCAACGCGAGCTCGGATAGCTAGCAAAGATGACGGTAACATAGGAAGTTCAGGCGCATTGGGCCATAAGTGTCCAGAAGCAACGGGCACAATATTCTGTCTCTTAATCCAAAGCATAGGCTCATGTTTCTGGGATCCTACAGCATTTACTCTAGAGTCAGCGGGCTCCCAAAGTGCAGTAACTTTGTTTCCGCCATTCTTGCAAGCCGCAGTAGCCACCCAGAGCGAAGATGACTGGAGGCGAGTGAGGCGAGTGATCGCGAGTGATCGAGATCTGGTTGTAATAACCTCATTTTTCTTGGCGGGCGGGGCAGAAGGCCAGAGATAACTGCGAACTGCTGTTCTTTCTCCGTAGGGCCAGAGATACCTAGTGCTAGCGGAGCTTATTGACCAAAGTGATGGCATCATCGGCTGTTCAACATATCCCCATAGTCTGTTCGAAGTAAGGCTTGGCAAGAATGTTTGTTGAGGAGCCTTTCTACGGAGCGAAGGGATGTCTTTGATGAACAATTGGGTATTCTGGACTTCTTGTGCATGTGTTTGATTCCACAGTAACGATGGTTGAGTAATGGCTGGAGGACTGGATTGATGTAACCACAGGTGGTTGCGGGTCGTATTCTCGGGCTCTTTGTGCTTCATAATATCTGTCCTTGGAGGAAGAGGCGGAAGAGGCGGAAGCGTCTTGTTTGCATATCTCACAATAACAGAGTCTATAGCTGTGTCTACATCCCTCAAATATCTTGGAGCAGCGGGACTGTCAACTGAATGAGACTTTGTATGACCCCCCCAAAGTTTCTTAAGTTTTCCGAATAAACCAGTTGTCTCGACTACACACTTGATTAGATGAGGGTATTAATAGAGGTTAAGATGAGTTAGTACCTGTCACCACTTCCTCCACAAATGTAACTCTTTTAAGCTTGAGTGAGCGACTTCTACCATGCCCGAATGAAGCGGCGATGATGCTTTTCGGCTTTTGTTCCCTCGGGCTTCTCCACAAACCTGTATTGGGTTGGATTTGAGGGCCGTGGGCCTTTACCCAGAGGCTTGTGGTAGCTTTTGCAATGGGTGTACTTGAGATACGGCGTTTTGGGCGAAGATCTAATGCAGCAGGGAGTGCTAGGGGGGTCCTTGGCAGCAATACAGGGTATGACCATAGCTGGCTACTCACGGGAGGGGAGCTTCCTTGGATGGGACGGGTGTTCCAAAGAAATGAAATTGAAGGTGACCTTGCACTTCGAGGGGATGACTCCGAAGTAACGGAGTATATAAAGTTGGGATGAGAAATTATGCTGGTAGAGCGTGTACTCGGGCAATACACCGTAGGTTCAAGAAGTTGAATCTCACTGTCGTCCTCGAATGTCTCTTGATATTCTGCATAGTGCTCGAGTCCCTCGTTTTCTTCTATGATAAAGTTTAAAGTATCATTTCCATAGTACGATTCCGTGTGGACCTCGCTGTGATTTGTACCATATGGCGACTCATCCCTGGAAGCATATGCCTCGGTATCTGAGTCTGAAACTATTGAGATTGGTGTATTTTGACTTTCGAGGATAGAAGTCGGTCTGGCTAGAACCTCACTAGGGTTCATCAACGGTGCTTGAACAAGATAACTCATCTGAGCATGCCACGCACTCGGTTGAGCATCTGAGCAAACAGACTCTGTGTCAACAGTACTCAACCGTTTATTAATCAAAATACCCTCATTAACCTTTCCCAGGGATGAGCGGCACTCTGAAATGTCTCGGGATAACCGGGAGGCTCTCTGCTCTGGAGTTTCCTCGATTGATCCCATTGAGCTTCTTTCCAGTGTCTTATGCATTCCCATCCATTCATTTTCCTGCTGTCCCATTTCCATCTCCAGCCGAGCTAACAGAGAGTTTCTACCGTCAGATACGTAACTCACACGAGAGTCACCCTTCTTGTTTACTGGAAGCCTATTCATAAGATCTTCAAGAGGAGCAAGATGTTGAGTTCCAGCGAAAATTGTTAGCCGTGCCTCCATCGACTGCTGTTGAGAGATACGTTTCTGCTGTACCAAGAAACCTATCGGAGATGGTGGTGGCTTCCTCTTGGTTCCGTATTTCCGCCTGCTCTCTGAGAAGGTAGGTATACTGTCTCCAAGGTGAAAATGGATGGGGATGGGAGTGGCGTTTGTTAAAGCTTCGGTGTTTTCTTGAACCTTAGCATCAAGCTTTCGTTCAGCGGCCGTGATCTTGTCATAGCTTGTTCCTTCCTCCATATCCGAGATCAAGATCCCATCATCGAGGTAGCAACCTTCTTCGCTATCAGTGAAGAAATCCTCATATGACTCGTCTTCTGTGGAATAGCCCTCTCCTCCGTTCACGATCATTTCATCCGCTTCACTTTGAGTCTGTTCATCAGATACAGATTCCACATTAGCCGCTTCCGGGTCTTGGTCACCTCCATCCTCAGAGCCAGAGTCGATTTCGATGTCTGTGAACGCATCGTCCTCTATTTGAAAGAGGGGGGACACTGTCAAGGCGATCAGACTCTTGCGCTTATGATTACCGTCCGAGATAGCTGCAGCTATTCTAGGGGTTATGTCGTCTGACATGTCGTATGCAATTGAGGGGAGAGGTTCAATGATACTTTCAGCATATCTAGGCTTATCACTAGCAGCAGATACGCTTTCAGCCCACGCTTTCGCGGTCTCATAAGTAGTAAAACTAGCTCTTTGATCATTGGTAGCCGGGCTCATCAAGCGCTTCTCTGACTTTTCGGGAATTGCTGGTTGGGGGCTGGGAATTGACTGAGTGATTCCAACTTTACCGGCAGCTGTGATCTCTTGGATTATTTCTGGAGATAAAATCTTCGGAATGGTGACAGTAATGGGTGGCGGGGCGCCTTTCCTGGCAGTAGCTCTAGGAGGAGGGATAGGAAACACAATTTCTCTTGCCCGCTTCTTTTCTGTACCCACCCCTTGCAATTGGGCTGGAACTTCGGGTAGTGGCTTTGAATCAACTTGTGGAAGTTCCGATTCCCTCCGCATGTTTGACTGCTTTTTGTTGTATTGCATTTGTGCCGCCAGGTCAGAGTCCCTATTCGGAGGGAAAAGTCCCCTCTCCGCAATATTCTTCACGCTCCTAGGTCTGTCCATAACCGGCGACGCATCCATGTATGGCGGTGAGGAGGCCACAGAATCATTCGATTCCTTAGCCGGTGAGAGACCTGGAAGACGCTTGGTAATAGATGAAGGACTCCTCCTGACTGCTCCTGTTTTAGATTCCGAGTATCTGGAGGTTGTTGAAGCAATATCCGTCTTCCCCATTATTGACTTTACCAACGCTGGGTCATCATACACAATTTCATTGAGAAACATGACCCTCGAATCATCATCCAATAAATCGATCTTTGGAATTCTTGGGGGTGCAGCCAGAGTGTAAGGCGCATGGGAAATTGCCGTATATCGCGTCGTATCATCATCCTCAGTCCCAAGGCTACCCACACTATATCTCGTTCCCCAGTCCGATCCCCCTTCTGCTGCTACGAATTCAGACTGTCGTAGACTAGATGAGCTTGCTGGCCCATTTCCCTCTCTTTTGACAGCAGATACCCTAAGCGCAGCGGCTCCTGACGGAAGCTGCGGTAGCAAGGGCTTTCTCTTGACGCTTGTTGAACGATCAGTATTTAGACAGTCTGCCACCGATTTTGACGTGGTGACTGTCCCAGCATCGGAGTTTTTTCGTTCCTGCTCTCTCTCAAACACGGCATCGATACGTTGTCGTTCCGCCTCTGCTGCTGTCTTCAGACTTACTGTCCTCATCTTTCCAAAAGAATTACTTGTTGGAACCCCAGAGATTCGTTCTACAGCGTCAATTGAACTGTTTGTCACTCTTGAACCCATTGGATTTGATACACTATGTTTTGCACCATGAGATGGCGCAATACTAGGTCTTCTGTTTTCTGGCATAGCCTTTGTAGGTTTAGGTCTTGTAATGCTCTCCGCGTTATTGGTTTCTAGTGACCATGGAATGGCAGTACCAGGGTGAACTATCGGCGCACCGATGATAGACCGGAACATCATACTTGTTCGCGCATCATTAAAGTTTTTATCGATATCCACTCCGTGAGACGGGAATCGATTGATTTTGTTGGACTCAATATCTCCAGGGTTGGAGTTGGGTGAGGTAATAGACTGCCCTGCTCTTGAAATGCTGGGCGGCGAAGAGCCGAATCGACCGAGTTTCCGATTATATGATTCGTTAGATCTAGAGATAGGGACAGAGAATACAATAGAAGGGAAGCACCCAAGGACACCTAGTATATGATAAGTTTGAGGTTCATTTTATTCTCTTTATCCATACGTCTAGAATATAGGTTATATTCTTACCAAGAGCTAAGGAGAGAGTTATAATATAGGGGATCATCCTAACGAAAATGCTCTCTCCCACATTCATCAAATATGGAAAACTTCCCTAATATTGTTGAACTCAATTAGCCCGGCTTCTTTTTAAAATAGCACCTTCCCAACAACCCTGCACTTACAACTGTCCACCCAATAAAACTCAATACGATCAAGAATAGCCCATAGCCCTGACTCTTCCCGTCCACCTTCCCACCCCTCCCTTGATCTGCGAAAAGTGACCAAATCGCAACAATTCTAAAAAGTAAAAAACCCCAACATAGCCCATCAAAGGTCACATTGACAATTCCTGTTGCCAAGTGCATCGGCTGTGGAAAGCAGACAGGCATAAATGTCCATCCCGTAAAACCAACAATTATTCCACCCAATAGTACCCGTAGCCCAAGGACCACTACCCAGCATATTTTTTCAGTTGTGTTGTCCGTCTCGTCACACACCTTCCAAATAATAAGTGCAAGTACGGATACCCGAGCGGCTTGATCAAAAAAGAGTGTAAATCGGACTATAACGCTGCAGGATGCATCTTCCAGAAGTAGCAGAGTAGCAAACTGAAACACAGAGTATATTGAAACGCATAAAAGGAATGAAAGAAGGACCAGCCTTCGGCGGTGGAGAAACAATGTCTTTATATGGCCATTGATGGCTGTAAAGAAGGCGGCTTGGGAGGCATGTAAGAGAAACCCTCTATGAATATTCTTCGTCAGCATATTTAAGTACCAGAATTATTGTGGATATATATCAAATGGATCAGTTACAGTCCAAAAGTAGTTGATAATACGCCCGCAGCCTCCATGATGCTTATTTGTTGTTATCGTGTTTTCTCCGATAAGTTACTGGACTTCAGTCACTCGTAGTCAGCTTAAGGTATATTAAATGAGTGATCCCTCCTTATTGACAATATTCACAATTATTAAAAACCTTCTTCTCGGAAGAATGTAGTGTGAATTAATCGAACCAGTCGTAATTATTGGTCGTACGTGTTGACTCTAGCAACGACGTCAAGAAAAAAAAAATCAGAAAAAAGAACGGAAGTCGAAAGGAAGAATGAAAAGAAGAAAGAACGAGATAAGAATGGGGCACTAATAACTATTGCACTTACTGTCCTTACTGGCAATCAACCTAGAGTGGTAAGCTCATGAATAACAATAAGCGCCCAGGGCTTTTTTTCTACCCCGAGTAAGCAAAAATCATTGGCCAACTTGACGAAAGCGGTAACAGGTAACAAACTCAACTGCAAGGCGGTCCCTTGATCCAACTGATGTACTCAGTCCACTTAACTACGGCGCGTTGGGCCCGTATTGTGTAGTGTCTATTTGCAGTGGAGCCTTCTGCCAAAGAGAAGAGAAAAACAAAAACAGTTGATTAATATAAAAAAAAAAAGTGTAGCTACTTACCAAATTAAAGACCTGAAGTTACAAATTAAAACGTAGAATGTATGAATGCAGCAGAGAACTAGCCTGCGCAAGGTAAAAATGGAAATCGCAGTATGGCTTGCCTGTCACCGTTGGAACGCGTGAACGGGGAAAGAAAGAGAGAGAAGGGAACGACGTGCGGCATGGGCCACCTACCATTTGAACTCATCTTTGGGGTCTATTGGAGATGTATCGGAATGACAGACGGAAACGTCAAAGTATAACTATACGACATCGGTATACCTTGCAAAACGAGAAAGAGGAGAACTTAGTACGTAGGAGTAGATCAGGAGTGATGCTGTATATGCGAGACAGTGTCTATGGAGTCGATGCAAAGAATGAAGTTCGCAAACCCAATGTAAGATGTGTAACCGCTATTCCTCAACGTCAGGAGGTAAAGGATGGGATTGTTTTCCCGGCCGCTAAGATACCAGAACACCTTGAAAAATATGTAAGACACGTAGTCCATGCGTGAAACCAAATCCTCACAGTCGCAACGAAGATAGAAATGTAGACTCTGCACTGTAGTTAGTGCCTCGATTTTTGAAGATTCATCGCGCAGTTACCTCGAGCCGAGGAAGTCCTGGTGACTGGAAGCGCCGATGCTGGATTCAGCCCAGTTGGACATCGGGTAATGTGCATGTGCCTATACGCGATGTTTCACCTGGTGTCCGAACCCCGTTTCAACAACCCAGACAGAAACCGATGGCGCAAAGAAGAAACCGCACCGTTATCCGAAGATCCCGCAGCTATCCACTTTTTGGCCTGATAAGCATTACTATTAAGCTTAAATACTGCCCAGGGGATCTTCTTGATTTTATACACGCAACGTAGATAATGAGAGATCCCATTCTCGTTAGCTGTTTTGCCAAGACATTTCTTTCAGTGCAAATGACCTCAAACAGTCAGGATACATGTAGGTTTGTGCACGGCAGCTTCCAAGAGACTTGAGAGATCTAACGACCATGCGAATTTCCTTGGGTTAAGTACACATAAAATTTACATCTTGACTTTAACCTCCAAGGGCCCTCTCCGGTTTGATAGCTACATGTACATAATGTAGTGGCCTACTTTGGTGCTTTGGTCTTGATTACTCCGGTGTTGATCAGTTAGTCATTTGGCATCTAAACGACTTTCCAAAAACATTGATGATAGATCTATCTATACCCCCAGCGATATGGCTACTGTACACGTTTATCTATTGTTAAATATAATCCGCCTGGGAGCGTGTTGGGTAGAAAAGGAGCGAAGTGAAGGTGTCAATCTTGAATAAACTTTAAACTCTAGGCCGAGGTTCCTCGCTCATATTTACTTATAGTGGATGGATAAGTCGGAGGTGATGTGGATGAGGTTGAGGTTGAGAATGTCCCGACAAATCAAAGGGCCAGCCAGCTACATGTAAGGAATGGAAAGACGGAATCACATTTTCTCACTATTTCATTGTTAGCGAGCTGGCGAGTGATGAGTCATGACTACATGACGTAAGGCCCAGCTAGCACTGGGGACCACCGTGAATCCTCATCCGATTCCCCACATATTATTTTCTTCTTTTCTATTCCCTCCCCCTACTGATATTTTGCGCTCTTGAGGTATAAATCCATTACCTCATTGGTTGCTGTCAGTACGGCTGAGAGGTGAAGCTTTATAGGTCTAAAGTTTTAAAACACATAATCCTATTTGATGATCATCTCGATCTTACCAGTCGATTGCAGAATTTGATGACCGAGCTGTTTAAGCATCACCGATCCAACCATCCCATCATCGAACCCAATGTACCGTACATATACTACATACATGTAGCGCATGAATTCGTTACCTAGCTCCATAATAGGTGACTTTGTGTTTTATGTTGTACATACACACATGCCGTGCCACTAATTAAAAACATTCCATGTACATATATGTTGCTATCCATGTCGTCCAAAACCCAGGATTCAGCTTTTAAGCGTGTCCGGAATTCTAGCTACCCAAACTTCTCCATAGATCCAGAAAAGCCTCCAGTTAAGTAGGTACAGTACATGTACTCCTTGATAAGCCCACATTAAACAGCCAATCCATGATATAGAATCTAGATGCGGGCACTAGGTAATTAATATACACCCGTCAACAGGATCGTACGGGTGGCTATTGGGCAATAGTATGACTGCGCATCGCTCCTTTTTCGTAGATGTACCTACATACTTAGATGTAGTGATCGAGTGGGGGTTTCACACGGGACTTGTTTTCTAACATTTGGAAGATTTAGCCAGATCGGGTTCCAGTCAAGTGCTTCGAGATGCGCTTGATGCAAGATTCCGCTACTATCACAACATTGATTACAAGGGCTCACTGGGCTCCTACTACGCGACCTTTGCGAGTGAGATCAGTAGTTTGGATTAATACTTCAGCAATCTATATAATAGGCAGACTTGATCCCTCCTGAAAATCTCTTTGTACCGCATGAACCCCCAAACCAGGGCGTAGAGTACGCTCCGTATGTGTTGCTGTAGCCCTTCTCTTGGCACCAATCAAGGACTCGTGACAGCTGGGTTCCGTCCTAGCTCTTCCCTTATCGGACGATTCCACCGATATCTGCAGGGCCCATCAACACCTTGTTGGCTACACATCAAAAATGTCGCGCGCCGCAGGGGCAGAAAGGACCTGGAGGGCGCAAAATGACTGGCAATCCCCGCAATCTACAGCCCCATAAATGTACTCTACTCTACTCTAGGTAGCACCCTCGGATGTGTAGATAGCTAGACCGCATCACACACTGCTATCTGCTCTGTTTTCGTACCTATACAAGTGGTTGTGCATAGAAAGTGATCCTGGGTAACTTGAGAGGTTGATAAGCAGTGATCTCCCCTCTTCCCTCCTGTTCGTCCACAACAACTCTTCCTCTCCTACCACTTCGAATTTTGCTCATTCCCCATATCCTCGCCATAGAAACAAAATGGGCAACTCAAGTTCCAAGTCGCGTTCTGCCACCTACCCTAACCCCGAAAAACCCAAGTTACATTCAAGGCTTAGCGACCTCACACTAAACGATCAAGAGATTGATGCAGAGCCTTCGCTTTCAGTGCGGATAGAAAGTGTGGTCAAGTGGGAGGAGCGACTCCTTTCAGACCCCAAGGTGGGCATCCCTTAATACCTCCTGTGATAAAACCATTGCTCATGCCGTTCACGCTTCTCTAGAATCGGCTTGCTCTCGCCGCTCTCAGTACACATGCAGCCACATCGATTCTCCAGAACCCATCCGTTCTGTTAAGC